GGAGGGAGCCACGAAGTCCAGGAGCATGCTGCCATGTGCACGTAGATGTTCAAGATATGCTCCATTGAATAGATATGAAGTGAGGGAGTGAATGAGGATGAGGAACATTTCAAACTGTATTTCATTAAGTCATTCTAAATTCATGTTCCATGCTTGGCTCTAATGCTGAAGAGTAGAGGCTTTATTCTCACGTTATGGATTAATACACATTTTCTTTGGGGTTAACACATTGGTTTGCTTTCCCCAGTGGTTACAAGCCAAGTCCCACGTGATCGGAGACCAACCTCTGCCCAGAGTTAGAGAGCACAGCATCTTCAGTAGTCACAGCAGCGAACATGGACATTGCATGTTCTGGGAACACTGCTCTGGACATGTCTCACTCAGCATGCAGAACAGCATGTGAAGAAGGTGCTATTATCATTATCATCATGACACAGTGAGAAAACCAAGGCACTTGAGAAACAGTCACTCACACAAGGTCACACAGCTAGTAAGTGGTATTGCTGGTGTTGGAACCCGAGTCATTGTGTCCCAGAATCTAAGGGCCCAGTCACTACTTCATCAGCCTCCTTCGGCAACAAATCCGGTGGGTAAATATAAACAACCATGACACCTACACAGTGGGACATTATTTTGATAAATCGACCAAATTTGTTACCAGTCACTATTTCCTCTAACTTGATGATCCTCCTTCAAATAGCAGGGTCTTGATGCCCTTAGGGATAGCGTGACAGAATAAAAGACAGAAGACTAAAGAATTTAATGGTGAGATCTGGGCATAAGCACTGGATTTGAAAGACCGGCATTTTATCTCCTCCACCAGGGCAAGCGGGCTGGAGGACAAAAGAGCCCAGGCTGTGTTTTGGCCACTCCTCTCCTAAATTCCTGTGTTACTTTTTGTTCATCATTGTGACAAAATTCAAGAAAAAAAAAAAAAACTCAGTGAAGGAAAGATTTGTTTTGGCTCATGGCTTCAGAGATTCTGTCATGGTCCACTGGCTCTATTGCTGGGCCTGAGGCAGGATGTAAGGAGGCCGGGAGGAGGCAGGGTGGTGGAATAAAGCTGCTGAGCTCAGGGCAGCCAGGAAGGAGAGGGCGGGGTGGGGGTCAGAAAGTACTTGGTAAATATTAACTCCCTGACAAATGGGAGAATTTCAGGGAGTGTACCAGGGCTTGCTTTTGCAAGAGAACCTGGGTGTCCTTGGGATGCCCTCGGGCCACTCCTTCCTAGTATGACTGACACTAGCCCTGTCCTGGGCCAGCTCTTGATTAAGCAAGACCATGAACACATATTTTTTTTCATCCCCAATAGGAATATATTTTTCCTACAACAGTACATCTATCGTTGAGGTAACTGATGTGAAGCTTTCTGATACTCGGAGTCTTCTTAGGACGTAAGGTTCTGTAATCACAGTGGGATGACCTCGCAAAGCAGGGAAGCCACAGACCTGAGCGGTCAAGAGAGCCATCTGGTTTCGGTCAGAAAGTCTGGGTTGGAACCTCGTTGTGCCTCATGGAAAATTACCCCATGTAATTTTTATTTCTTTATCTATAAAAAGTGAATTTGAAATTGTTTGCCTTGGGAAGGTTGCTATGTGAATTAAACAAAAGGTATAAAGTTCTTAGCTCAATAAGAGTTGACAGCCACACTCGGCGTGGACGCACGGGTACTGTGGGGAGGAGCAGGAAGTGCAGGAGAGCCTCAGAGCCAGGCAGCTCTCTGCCAGTTCACAATCAATCATTTTTATCTTTATCAACAAAGATAAAAATGACAAAGCATCTTTGCAAGTCAACACTAATGCTTCAACAGAATAGTATTTTTTTTAAGTCTTGAGATTTAATCTATGTTTGAAATTCCTTGAGTTTCTCTGAGTGCATGAACTCTGTTCATTTTAGAACATTCTAGAGAATGTTTCATTATTGGAATTATTTTATGAATTTTTTGGTAAATACATCTGTAAATCAACGGACATGTTTTGAGTAAAGAATGAACTAAAACCCTCCCAAATTTCAAGAAGTTATATAATGACTTATGCAATGACCACTATTTTTATATGAGACCCTGTTGATTTATGTCTGCTGTGTCTTGTGGGTGCGCATTGTGGAATTCCTCGGCCTGGCTTGTTTATTAGAATGCACATCATGTTCATCTTAGACACCATCGGCCCATACAGCTCCTACTTCATCATTTATCCTTCCTTCTCTACTAAAAAGCCACTTTTTAGTATTTTTGGTTATGGTTATAACCTCCTAATGAAACTATCTGATAGTTTGCAAAGGAAAATTTTATCTTGAGACATTTTTCATATTTGTAGGTGGTAAAAGGTACACTAAAAGGAAGAAATCATGTGGTTAAAAACAAAACGTGGGATCCCAAAGTATCAGGATTAAATTTTCTGGCACTGGGGACTAGTGCAGTCTCCTGGCCTCAGAATACATTTCTGAATGGTGATCTAATTCCAATCACATGAATATTATCTAAGTACAGTTCTCAAATTCTTTGATTAAAGACCTCTAAAAAGAGTACTTTTCACCAGTCTCCTTCCAAGGCACAGATTCCTGGTTCAACTACATTCAGTTCCTTCTCTGTCACGGCAGATGGTCAGGGAGAGGTGCAGGGGGGGTCTCAGACACTGAAGAGTCTAAGGTGGCACAAGATGGTTGCTTTGACTTCCTGAGGCCTCAGTTCTTCCGTATGACTCCATCTTTACTGGGGCGGACAAGTGGGCTGCTGACCCTTGCGAGAGGTATGCTACCGCCTTTTGAAGTATTCAGAGTGCTATGGAGGTGCAAGCCCACCTCTGGCCCCCACAGTCCCCACCGATGCCCTCATCTGAAAAACCACAGTGCAGCTGGGTGGCCCTTCTGACGACCGGCTTCTCGAACCAAGTTTTTCTGACTGGAGCAGGTGGGAGCGAAACATCCTTAAGACCTCGCTCACTCTGAGACCCTCAGGGAGAAACCTCTGCTTGCTTTGCTCAGCGCCTAGAGCTGCATCTGTTGGTTCATGGCCACTATCTCAGCCTTCAAAGCCAGCAGAGCAGCAGCTTCAGAAGTGTCTTTCCCAGTGACCTCCCATCTTTCTCTGATACAGACCCTTGAATACATTGGGACCATCATGACCTGCCCTTCTCCCAATTCGTGATCACCCCTGAAGATGTTCTTTCACCATGTAAAGCAACGTTTTCAGATTCAGGAACCAGGAATGGGATGTTCTTGGGAAGGTCCCTGTTGACTCTACCTGTCTAGGTATCCTACTGGTTTAGTAGATGGGAAAAGGTTTCTCTAATCGTGAAAGGTGAATTCTGGGGTTTCTGGGTGATACAACATTGTGGGTTAAGGGAATAAATAAAGTAATTCATTTTTCATCCTTTCCATTGAGTAGCACTTATAAATGTGTGCACGTTTTTGTTGGAGCAGGAGGGGAACATGTGCCCTTGGCATTTCACTGATTTGATCCATATTCGCTGAGCATGCATCAAGGGCCAGGCGCTGTGAGTCCCAGAGCACACACCCAAGTGTAGAGATGACCCTTGCTTTCCAGAAACTCCAGTTTTACCGAGCAGAAGAAAACAGATGATTTTACTACATTCTCGTAAATGCAGGGAGTAGTATAACCAGGGTGTTCAGCAAAACACCCAACAGCACCCCCAGTGCAGACTGAGGAGGTGTGGAAGTGCACCCCAGCTCTATCAGTCGGTGCAACTGGAGAAGTGGGGTGAGGATGTGAGTGACGGACTGTGGCGCAGGGAATCATCCCCGCGGGCTGTTGCCTCCGCATCCCATGCTGGAGCTTGGTGCCTGCGTGGCGGGCGGTGGGAGGGGAGCTGCGCGTGAAGGGGAAGCAAGGTCAAGGTGAGCCCTTTCCGCCTCCAACACTGATGTGGATCATGTGAGTGTGCTGCAGGAGGAGCAGGTATCCTCTGCCATCAGACCTAACACACGGGACCCAGGAGTCAGGCGCTGGAGGAGGATCCAGGGAAGGGGGCGGCTGTGTCCCTCTGCGGAGAGGTAACCCAGCAGAGAAACCAGGACGCACGTGAGCGGCAAGGAGCAGGCCACAGAGCTGGCTCCAACCACAGGGAAGGTGCACACCTATGCGCAGGTGTCTGCTGTGGCTGGGGTGCTGGGGCCCCAGGGGCGGGATGGGAGGGGGAAGGATGTGCCCGGGACTCAGTGCTCGGGCGAGGTCACTATAGTTTAGTATAGTCCCGGGCAGCATGGACTGGGTCCTGGGGGGAACAGGGGGTGGTCACTATGAGCCACTGTCCAAGCTGCACTTCAGAGTGTTCAGGGCCTTTGGCACCTGGCACGGCGGTGTCTTCCGGGGTCTCCCCTCCTCCTGCCCACAGCTGGCCTGACAGGCTCCTCAGCTTCCCGTCACCCTCTGCCTCAGGGTCCACCGGAGCCACTTGCTCCTCCCTTTCCCCTTTCCCTTCAAGGCCAGCTGCTGGTTCGTGAGGGGTGCCCCAGGTGGCCTTCCTCCCAGCCAGACACAGAGGACCACGCTGCATGACCTGCTCTGAGGAGCCTCATTCATACCATCCAAGTGTCCCCACTGCCCAGCACAGATGTGGCCTGCAGAAGGTGCTCGGTCGATGCTGAAACAAGTTCCAACAGCCTCCCAACAAACCCTTCACTTAAACAGCCGGCCTCCATCTTCGTGGTGCCACACCCGTGGGGGCAAGCTCTGTTGAGATTGGAGAGACCCGAACCTGTACTGGCACGTCCAGACCTTTTTATCCGGTCCTGATTTCCTAAAGAACACTGTATTCCAGCTGTTTATGTGGCATTTACATGTAATCAGAGAGCTGCGTGTAATCAGAGGTGGTTCCACACCCATGGCAGGATGTGTGCAGATTCTGTGCGGCCACTGGGCCATTACTGTGTCCTGTACTTGAGCATCACAGACTTTGACACACGGGAGGGAGGTCACTAGAACCGGCCACCAAGACTGAGGAGGGACAGGGTTTCCAGGGAGTCAGACGCAGACAAGCACGGCCTTTCCTGACCTCTTTAATCGGGATTAAGAAGGGGCAGTGAAAGCTTCCGGCTGCCTCCAGATCAGCACCTACGAGGGCTCAGGGGATTCAGAGGGAGGGGAAATCTGACTCGCTCTCCGCGTCCTGCTCCAAGATGGCCTCGAACCTGTAGCTCTTGATCAAAATCTCCTCCTCCTCTTCCTCCCCCTCTTCCACGAAGCCCTCCTTACTGCCTTTCGTAGGATCTGCAGGGGTGTGGGTGTAGTCCTTGGGCCAGTTGTAAAGAGGCTTCAGTTTCCTGGTGTAGATGAACTTAAACCATCTCCGGAAGGTTTGTTTGATAGTTGAGGAGGTCATCGTGTGGGCTATTTCCCTAAAAATATCACGGGTTTTTTTTGCCAACTCCCGAACCACCGGGTCTTCATCCCGGACTGTTTTTTCAATAACTGCAACAGTAAAAGGGCACTTGGTTTGAAGCAGCTCTCTCTCAGAGGCCAAGAAGCTCCAGCCCTCAGCAACCCCACTGCCCCCCCACAGTCCCTTCCTGCCCGCTCCCTCTTCTCACTCTCCCTCACCTTGACGGGGACGAGTAGCATCTCATTAAAAGAAAAATGGAAATAGTCACTAAATGTCCACTGAGTTTCTATTATGTGCTTGGTAGCATCAACATAGATTCATGAAGCTCATGAACACACATTGTATTGATCATAATCATGAAAAATGTTTGCTATTCAGCTACAGGATTAGACCCTAGGAGCTGCTTAAAAGTTAAGGTTACCATAAAAAGAAGTGATGCACACATTTTACAAGATGAGATGGGCACATGTTCCTTGGCATGGGAGGTGTTTGACACATGAGTAGGTGAAAAAAGTTATGATAGTTGTAAACACTAAATATGCAATGGCATGTATGTTTTAAAAAATATTTGGGATAACACGTATAGCAAAATGCTAATGGCGTCCTAGGCGACAGCAGGCAGTGGGGAATGATGATTTCATTTCTTAATAAAAGAAGCAGAATAAGGAGGGACCTTTAGGGAGAAGGAGCAGGAGGAGAGAGAGGAAAGAGGTGCTAAGAGAAACCAAGGGAGAATCTAGGTGCTGCTGAATGAACGAGAGCGCCCCCTGGTGAGCCAGCGGGGTGAGAGGAGGTGACAGCATAAATTCACAGGGAGTGAGAAATGTGGGACCCGCTGGGGCATGCTGACCGTGGAGGACGTGATGGGGCACCTCTGTACCTGCCGCTCAACTTCGTAGGGGAGCCTAAAAATGCTCTGAAAAATAAAGCCTCCTTTTTTTTATTATTTGTAAAGGAAGGAATGAAGGCAGCTCCCCTATTTTCTAACTCACCTGCTAGTGATTGATTCTGACCTAAAGAGGCAACAGACACTAAGGGGGGAGAGGCCTACGACCCCGACACTGTGGGAGAACAACAGGACCCTGCTAGACGTCCCTCCTCTGCCAGTGGGACGGGGTTACCGTCCACCAAAGTGGGAATGCCGGGAGGAAAGAGGCTTTGGTGGTGGTGGCTGCTGCTGCTGCTGAGGGCCCAGAAGCTAGGACAGTGCTGTCCCTCAGGAGGGGCTGCAGAGGCTCTTGCTTGTTGGAGGAGTGAGGGAGTCCCCAACACTGCAGTTCCCAAGGGCTCCAGGGGAGTGATCAGGTTGCAGGGAAAGACGGGGAGAGAGAGCAAGAGACACAGAACAGAGACCAGGAGGTGCCCTCACACTGACTCCCCAACTAACCGTCCCCTGCCCCTGCTGCCCTCCTTCCCTCTGGGCACCCTCACGTAGAACTCATGTGGCCAGAGTCACAAGTGGAGAGTTTATTTGGACCTATGCCTAGATGTGTCATCATGACCTCGGTACTCACCCTCCAGCATGACTTCGATTTCATCTTTGAGTAGTAAATACGCACCCAGCTTTGCCAAGTACCCTAGCACAGAGTGGATTAAAGTTACACCAAAATACATCACGGAAGTGCACTCCCTGCTGTTACCCGGCTACAAGCTTTGCTTTCCTTAACGCAAAGTATCTACAGATGATCTTCCAATCATCCATTAGTGCTTTCAAATGGTTATTGTTTAACTATTTATTACAAACTATTTATTGAAACACAGGCCTGTGTTGACCCAAGTTTAAACCCAAGTTTTCAATTCTGTGAATTTTTTAATGAAATGGACACAGATGTGTTAAAATAAGCTGTAAATCATAATCTAGCACTTCCTATATAATTTGTTATCGTTAAAAAATTAATAAGTATCATCACAAATCATTCACTTATTATTACTTTTTTTTTTTTAAGAATAGAGCTTGAAAACCACAAATATTTATCTCACAGTCACCCTGAGTGGGCTCTTTGTGACTCAGTGGCAGGTTCACAGGTGTTCCACCAGCAGGATGACGAGACACCGGGGTTAGTGAGTGACTCTGCAGCTAACTCATCTTCCCTACGTCTAGGTCACCACTGTCCCAGAGGTCACCAGTGTCCCAGAGGCCACCAGAGTCGCAGAGGCATCCCTCAAGCCCCTTGCAGTTTCTTCCTGCACCTTTCAGAGCATGCTCTCTGGGGTCTGCCTTCTTGCTGCACTTGAGCTTGGGATTCCCATGGTCTTTGATGCAGCCATGGTGCGTCCATTCCCACGGGTACATGCAGAGCTCAGTTTTCTTGAAACACACTGTGCACCCCGGCTCCGTGTTACACATCATCTCTACCTGCGTTCGCCTTATGACAGCCGAGTACCTCCAACGGAGATTCGGTGGCACTCAAAGCCTAAAATATTTACTATCGGGTTTTCAAAAAAGTTTACTGATCCCTGCTAGATGATGTTCTATTATTTATATCTATTTTTAGTAGCTCTGGGGATTGAACCCAGAGGCACTTTATCATGCCCAGCCCTTTTTATGTCGAGACAGGATCTCGCTAAGTTGCTGAGGCTGCTAACCCTAACCCTAACCCTAACCCTCCAACTTGACATCCTCTGCCTCAGCCTCCTGAGTTGCTGGGGTTAATGGGTGTGCTCCACTGTGTGTTTTATCTTATGAATGCAGCCATCTTTTTTTTTCCTGCCAATGGTGGACATTTGTGCTGTTTCCACTTTGGGGCTATAGTGAGTAATGGTGTTATGGACATTCTCGTGCATGAATTCGAATCGCTGCTTGGTACATAACTGGCATTTACTGGGTAATGGAGATACTTATGTTCAGCCTTGATAATTACTGCCAAACAGTCTTCCAAAGTGCTTGTACCGATTCTCACTCCCCCCAAAGCCTGGAGACATTCCCCACCTCACTGCCTTGTGTCCAGAGGCCTCAATGTCCAGGAGTACGAGTCCTTCAGCTTTGGCTCCCCTCAGGTCACCGTGGCTCTCTCAGACCTTTCAATTTTCACATAAAGTTTAGATCAGCCCACCCAGCTCCACCCACACCTCCAAACCCCAGGTAAGGATCTGCTCAGGACCAGGTTGAGGGTTCGGGAGATTGTGACGCATCTCATCCTTCAATCCACCAACAGGAGACAGCGCTTCCCCTGGGTTTTTTGTTGTTGTTTGTTTTTAACGTCTGTGGTTTTCTGCTTTCTTGTGTCTCAGTGTTGCACATCTTTTCTTAGTCTTAATACATTTTGTATTTTTGGAGTTATATTTGATAATTCAAAAATTTGATTTTTCAATTTGTTTGTGTACCAATATCCAGTTGATCTTTGTGTAGTGATGTTGTATCTAGAAACTTTGAATTTATCAAAGAATTCTTTCCAATGTTCTAAACGTGCCAACACTTTTGTGGGAATGTTGAAAGTGTTATTTTCTTTTATTCAAACTTAGGTATTTTATTTCTTGCTGTTGCCTTGTTTCAGTTTTGGATCATTCACGGCCTTATCTCTTCAGGTGGTTTCGTCTGCCTCGCTCTCTCCCTGCTCCTCCTGTAACATGAACGTCGAAGCTTTCTCTGTGTCTCACAGTATCTCATGCTCTTTCCACATTTCCCATTTTTATTTCTCTAAGCGTTGATCTTGGGGCTGCATCCTTTGCTGTGACATATTTAATTCTCTCATTCTCTTTTACTTTCTTTCTAATTTGCTGCTGAATGCCATCCATTGAGTTCTGCATTCCATCTCATTATTTAACCATTCAAATATATGAGTCATGTGTATTTTAAACTATAATATCTTCAACAACTACACATCCTGGATTCCACTTCTATGGTTTTTTCCTTCTGGTTGAAAGCATTTCTATGAGACTGGCTAATTTTGGTAAAAATAAGCTATTGTATGAAGATGTGGATTTTCAGTATTTCAAAAAGCCCTCCTTAGAGAAAGTAGCAATTTACAGTGTCACTAGTGTGCTTGGTCTTTTCTTGCCACCTGGCCAAAATGTATAGTATAAAACTTTTTTTTTTTCCTTCAGGATTGGGGATTGAACCCAGGGGCACTCCACCACTGAGCTACATCTTCAGCTCTTTTTATTTGGAGACAGAATCTCACTAAGTTGCTGAGGCTGGCTTCCAACTTGTGATCCTCCTGCCTCAGCCTCCCTAGTAGCTGAAATTACAGATGTTACCAGAGTATTCAGCTAGTAAAAAACTTTTGATTTTCATTAACCTCATGGACAGAAACCTTCCACCATTCAATTTGCCTTACTGTATGTGTAAAATTGTGAAAGGTCATATATAAGTGCCAAATATATGTATTTTCCATATATTGTTTGCCAATTTTCCTACTGAATTGGTTGTGTAATGGATTTGTAAGAATTCCTTTGATAATGAGTATTCACCCTTTATCTATGATAAGTATAAATATTTTACCTTAATTTGGCTTTTAACTTGGTTTCTACTGGTTTTGCCTCACCAAGATTGTCATGTAGTTAACAATCTTCTGTTATGGCTGCTAGGTTTAGACTTTTACTTAGAAAACTTTTCCTTCTTCCATGATTATAAGGCAGATATTCCAGATTGTTTTTTATCTTGTTTTATTTATAATTATGAGTTGATTTTTTAGCATTTGACTCTTTGATTATATGGAATTTATTTAATGTAAAAAGTTAAAAATGAATAAAATAATTCAAAAAATTCCCAGTGGCTTACCAGGTGTCCCACATCATCTAAGAAGTCCACTATTCACTTTCTAAAATGCTGCATGAGTTGGGCTGTCTGCATGGCGTCCTGTTGCGTTCATCTGTCTGATCATTGCCTGTGGTTTGATGGGGCCAGTTGCCCCTCCTCATTCTTTCATGCCTACTTTTCCACTTAGTTTGAGAATCAGCATGCTAGTTTAAACAAAAGAAATCCTATTGGTGCTTTAATTAGCATGGTTCCATGTATAAATTTAGGAAAGAATTCATACAGTTTTTTTGGGGGGGTGGTACCAGGGATTAACCCAAGGGCCTCTTGACCCCTGAGCCACATCCTCAGCCCTATTTTGTATTTTATTTAGAGATAAGGTCTCACTGAGTTGCTTAGCTCCTTGCTTTTGCTGAGGCTGGCTTTGAACTCGGGATCCTCCTGCCTCAGCCTCCTGAGCTGCTGAGATTACAGGCCTGCTCCACCGCGCCTGGCTTCATCCATTTTTTTGTTTTGGTTTTGTCTTTTCCGAGACATGATTTATACCCTTCTCTTTATTCAAGCCTTGTATCCTTCAGTAATGTCTGCAAGCTTTCTTCACAGGTGTACTGCACACATTCCAACCTTCAGGTTTAGATGTCCTCCCTCCCCTCTGTCCATCCTTCCTTCCGTCTTTCCTCTTCCTATCTCTCTTCCTCTCTCATCTTCTTCCTCCCTCCCTCAAGCTGACCACCCTGGGGGCTTCTGCTGTGCCCTCTGGAGTCTGGCTGGACTCCATCCACCTGCCTCTACTTTCCTCAGAAAAGCTCTTCCTCGTTGTTGTAGTTGGTGGCTGCAGATGTCCAAGGCTTGCTGACGATGGCGTTGGTCGGTGCATGTTTTATAGTTGTTCTTTGGACAGTGACTTTTAGGCAGTGAAAGGAAGGATGAGCTGTAATAGGTCTCTGTCTTAAAGTTTGAAATCGCCCCGTTAAATGCATTCTGTGCGATCATTTGACCAATGCAACTGCGTTGCACAGACACCTCTGCTCTAAGCTCATTATTAACCCCCGTTCATCACAGACGGCACCGTCACAGGCGCTGGGCATCATAAACAGAGAGGAGCTGTGACTTAATGCAGACTTACACTGCTAGACTCCTCTGTACCTTGAAAGACAAGAAATAGAATTAAATTGATTTACCTACTAAAATAACCGATCCTCTCCTCAGGTATAGCCGGGAGCTCCCCAGGAACCCTAAGGTATCAGATATTAAATCTGTGATGTGGCTCTCATGAGAAGCAGCCTAGGAATGAAAAGGGAAAGAACCATCTCTCAATTGTTGAAAAGACATTTTTCTCCCTCCAGAGAGGCTTCAAGACAGAGGACACCGATTGCTCCCACTCTATCAGCACCAGCGGAGCCTGCGGCGTCCTGTGTGTGACTCACTCTCTGGCAGGCGTCGAGCTGTTCACGATGTGACTCCAGAACCCACCTGTGCTGAGCTCTCTGCCACCCCCAAGTGTCTCCACTGCCCACGCTGGTTTTCAGGGGACCGGGCCACGAGGGGTGGCAAAGGAACTCCAAGAAGACGAGGAAGCGGGGAATTCTAGTTTTCGGCCATCCCAAGCCCCGGCCACGATCACACTTACTTGTTATGTTTTCTTCACATTCTTTCAGGATCACCCCTGTCCTCCCCCATTTCGTCACTTTGTGCGGCCCTTGCCTTCTGTCTGTGGGTCTGAACGGTGGAAAAGGGAAGGGCTACTCACAAGGTGGTTACAGATGTTGAGCACCACCAGCTCAAAGTTGTAATTTTCATCTTTGAGAAAAACTGGTGTGGGCCACCTCAGCTGTGAGGCACAGATTCTTAACGCATATTTACATGCCTGTGGGACACAAAAAGGTCCCTCAAGATCGCTTCTTTTGTGGTTGCATAAAACATTGTGATTTTCTGCAAAATTAAGGGGGACAAAAGTCTTACTTTTGAGACTCTTATCTCCTTGTCCTCCAAAAACAGGATCAGGGGCACCAAGGCTCCAAGGGCCAAAGGGTTGAGCATCCAGGTGAACTGACTCATATCCTTCAGCAACTCGCCAAAGTGTCGAATGGCCATGCTCCGGATGCCCCCATTGTTCTGCCAGGTGCATGCGGAAAAGAGAAAGGGCCTCATCTGAGCACACTGCTGTCTTCAGTCAACACGATTCACCTATTTTATATGCGTATATTTGTATATTCAAATGTATGAAATTATTATTTATTTTTAGGAAAGATCTCGTCTACAGAGCTCTTCTTTTGGTTTTAACGTAAGATTTACTTATCCATCATCGACCACAGCCAAGATGTAGAATTGACCTAATGCCCACTAATGGAAGAATGGATAAAGGCCACACGTGTGAGTGTGTACCTCCTCTCTGCCCCACAAGTACTCTAAGTCATCATAAAGAAGAAAATCATTGCAAAAACTACAACGGACCCCAGAGGACACTATGTGGCATGAACTTGGCTAGGCACAGCATGGACAGACAATCCCTGCCTGCTGGCTTCACACACACACCCTGAGGGAGTCAAACTCATCACACAGAGGGGAACAGTGGTCTCCAGGAGCTAGAGGCGGTGGGCGTGGAGGAATGCAAGACGTGTTCATTAGAGGGTCTGAAGCTTCAGTTAGACGGATGGATAACTTTTGGAGTGTTAATAATGTATAGCACGTTGGCTATGGTCAGCCATAATGCATTTTGTACTTGAAACTTGCAAAGAGATTAGATCTTAAAATGTTCTCACCATTAAAAAAAAAATGATACGTGAAAAGATGGATTACATTGGTTAGCTTGATTTAATCATTTAACAGCGTGTGCATATATCAAAATGTCACAATGGACAAAAATAATGCATGTGATTTTCATTTGGCAGTTATGCTTTAACTGGGGAAAATATTGAAACTGGTTTAAAAAACATGAAAAATTTTACTTACACTCCAGAATTCAGATAGTGTTAAAAAAAAAATCTTGTGTAAAAAGTGAATTTCTTAAATTTAGGAAGACTATAGTACTTAATCATGTCCTCAAAATATAAACTGGAATAATCTGCATAATTGGGGATAATTTACCCAGGCTGTGTTCAAGGCTAGAGGACTTTGCGGAATTGCAAATCAATAGCGATGGGAGTGCCTCACCTATGGGCATACAGCTGGCCAAGTAGGAACTGACTGCATTATGAAGACTCTAGAAGGGAAAAATCTCTGCCAGAGTCAGAAACTATTTTAAAAAATACAATCTTCTCTTCTAGTATTGAGGAATTATCATCTTCTAGTATGGACATCACTAACTTGCTGTCCTCTTTCACCCATGATCAGAGACTGTTCTTTGATTCTCCTTTTTTTTTTTTTTTTTAGAATTTTAATATTTATTTATTTATTTATTTATTTATTTTTTAGTTTTCGGCAGAGACAACATCTTTGTATGTGGTGCTGAGGATCGAACCCAGGCTGCACGCATGCCAGGCGGGCGCGCTACCGCTTGAGCCACATCCCCAGCCCTGATTCTCCTTCCTTAGGGACAAACTTTTCTAGATTGTCACAGTGAAGTTAAAAAATAATTAAATAAAAGGGTCCCACAAATACTCATGCCTGGAGCAGAAAAGCTGGCTCTAGGGGGAAGACTGCCGCCTGCTGGTGAGGCCAGGCTACGACAGGATCTCCCCTGGGGCTTCCTCTCAATCCCACAACCCGGCTCCTCTACTCAGTTCTCCTCCTAACTCACGTGATCCATCAGAGGACAGTAGCTGGAAGCAATTTTGGCGCACAGTGAGGAGTAAATCACCCTGTCCAGTTTGCATAGAAGTTTCCGGAGGGTGAGCAAGGCCCGGATGACAACGGTGTGTTCCTTGGAATGGAAGGCTTCCAGGATGGATGTCAGTAGGCTGCAGACATTTTCTATCTGCATGAAAAAGGAGGAAGATGGTGGGATTTGGGAACTGGAGGAGATTAGAGCTAGTGTTTGGCTTGCACGTCTCAAGTCTAGCCTGCTGGCCCTGGCTCGCAAGAGTCACTTGTCAAGTTGCCAAAAATTTTGTGGCCTACTATTTTTAAAACGTCATTATTAAAAGTCGGGGCTGGGGTTGTGGCTCATGGTGGAGCACTTGCCTAGCATGTGCGAGGCACTGAGTTCAATCCTCAGCACCACATATACATAAATAAAAAATAAAGGTCATGGACCACCAAAAATATTTTTTAAAAAGTCATTATTAAAAGTTAAATTGTATTAGTTTAGCATTAAATAAAACCAAAGGTAATACTGCAAAGTGACGGATTCCCGATTATTTTGGTGACAATTGACTATTTTCTACACCCCTGAGTGGTGGAGGCCACTATCCAGCTGGAACACTGGGCTTCGTCCACAGCAGGGAAACCTGAGCCCAGATCACGGGAGTACTTCTATTTCACTCTCCTCGCTATTCTGGACACAGAGCCCCCATTTCGTCAATGACATTGGCCAGAGCTCTGGACAAAGCAAGGAAAAACTTGATGCTTCCTAAAAGAATGTTCGCTGCCGATCAATCTGTTCACTTGCGTGATTTATTTAAAGCAAACAGACCGTGGCTCATGCCGTTCTAAATGCAAAAGCAGTCTTTACGGACAGGCCTTGAGCTTTTGGAGACTATGCTGAATAGGTAATGGAGTCATCATTGTTAGTTATTATTAGTTATATTATTAGTTATTACTTATTATGAGGCTCATTCTTAAATCAACAATGAGTCACGCAGCATCTGCAGGCTCCACGTGGTACAAGACCCGTTGGAGTTTGGAACTGAGAACCCAGAGGCAGGCTTAGTTCCAGGGACTGGAGGGCTTTCATCCGATTCAGGGGGAGCCCGGGCAGACGGTGACTCTCAACTGTAACCTGTGTTAGGATCAACTGAAGATTCTTTTAACACACAGACTGAAGGTCCTCAACCCAGAATTCCTGATTCCACAGGGTGTGGGGTGGGCCCCCGGACCTGTGTTTCTAACAGGCCCCCGGGATCTGGTGGTGATGTTGGTGGCTCTACAACCGTACTTTGGGGTCCGTGACATGAGGCAGTGCTCGTGGGGGGTTTGGCTCTGAGAAGGGATGAGGCCATTCAGTGAGGTCCACCTTGAGCTGACGGTTGGGAAAGGAGAAAAACGTGCCTGTGGCAGCTGACAGAGAGGGTGAGGCGTGGAAGGAGAAGCCGCGTGCTCCCCAGATGGGACTTGGTGAGTGCACCGTGGTGCTGGAGGGAAACTTGCTGAGGAGTCTGTGGTGTAGACTGGAAGAGGGGTGATCCTGGAGGCCATGGGTGAGAAATTCCGAGGGCAATGAATGATTTTATGGAAAATTTATAAATAAGGTGTTAAAGCCCCTAAGTTGGCTTATATTCTCTTCATTTAACTCAGTATTCTTTTTGAAAAAAAAATATACTAATTGCGCTGTGGTTTACAGAAACTGAAAAATGATATCGATGTTTCATCATAAAGATCTTGAGCAGCATCGGAACATCCAATTACGATTTTGGCGGTGCGGGCGGACACAACCCCCCACGTACTTCATTGATGACGGGGGCCATGTTGGCGATTTTCTGGAGACTCAACTTGCTGACTACAGGGTTGGAGTCGTTGATCCAGTTTTTGTAGAGGACCATAAATTCTTCTGGGAATGGGTCCTTGAAGAAGTTATTCAGAAGCTGAAAGAAGAGAGTTCATAAGTTAATGATGAGTTCAGGCCAACTGTGGCATGATTTCTGCCTGGCACCAAATCAGGGCATTTTCAGCAAACCAGATTACAAACTCCAAGAGCTTGTGTGTATGGCTCTACACGTTTGGGTGCTCGTAGAAGAGGGCACAGGGGACAGCGACTAGAGTAACTCACAGATGCTTTGCTTTGTTTTCATGGCTTCTCTTCATCACTGGAAACTGAATGACCCATTTAAGACTCACTCACAGGGTGGAGTTTTTTTGACCCGGGCTGTTGCCAACAGGTGATGCCTATGAACGGCCTGGGGAGCAAAAGAGTCCCGGCCCACGACCCTGTGAGTTACGGATGAGCGGAGAGGCTGGTGCCCTGCAAGACAATACTAGACACTGTTCCAAAGAAGGAGGCGAGTTGTGAGCTGCGGCCAGGACTAGGAAGGAGAGCTGGCAGATGCTGCGAGAACATTCACCAGGTACTGGATTTCGACTGTGATGAAAATTTGATTTAGAATGAAGAGTGATATTCAGATTTGGACGTGAAGGCCGAGTTGGCTGGATAAAGTGTTTGACAGAGACACTTCCAGGGATGGTGATCATGTACTAAGGCCCTGAGGTTGATGAGGCAGGGTGTGACTGAGCACCTTTTAAAAGAGCAGCCATAGGGTAGGGGGCAGGGAGGACAGGAGGCAGGAGGGACCTGGGGGCCAAGTTGAGGAGGTTTAGTCTGTAACAGCCAGTTTCCCCCAAAGACGTGATTATCACGAGCCATTTTGCACCTAAAACAGGCACCCAAATATGTGCATTTTTAAAATCTCTTAAGACATGCAATGACAGCTTTAAAAACACACAATTTTCATGGGAGAATTTCACACGTTGCTCAGATAGGTAAAGTGTACAGGGAAAACAGGAGAAAACTGGAAGGAAATGGTACAGCAAGAGCGGGTGAGAGGGAGGGGTCAGGCTTTCCTTCCACAATCTTCCAGAGAGCTTTCCTCCAAGTTGCACACCTCATCAGAAGTGTCCACCACTTCCTAGAGCAAGGCCATGGCGTGGAACTGAAAGCCTAGGAGCCGTGGAAATGCCAGACACCCCTCCTCCAGTTAGTGGCTCAACATCCTAAACCACAACAGTCAGACAGACAGATGATAAGGACGACACAAAACAGTGAAAAATAATGACCATCTGATGCTGACAGCCGGAAACAGACGTGTCACTTGAGTTCAAAGAGATGCTAAAATCCACAGGGCGGCCTCCCTCCTCCAGGGGTGGCTCCCCTCCCTGGGCCCTGCCTCAGCCCACTCCCCGCGGTTCTCCCAAGTCTTGGTGGGAGCGGGCAGGGGTGGAGGGGGAGGCGGTGGGCAGCTTGGTGAGGACCAGGGGAGGCACCAGACACGGCTCAAGCTCTCCTAGAAACTCACTTCAGTGAAGAATATTATGGTGACGATATTGTCTTCGGACCTTCTAGGACCTTCCACGGAGATCTTGTAGAAATAATGTAGAGTCTCTGGAAACTGTGGGAAGTTGAACTCACTGAGAGTTCTGGAAAGGAGAAGAAGCCCCAGTGAGCAGAGAACGAGAGCACACGTCGGCCAGTCCTGAGAGCGAGGAGAGACGATTCTGCCCTCAGCCTTCCGGCTGGCAGGTGGGAAGGACAAGACACTGCCCGCCGTTCCCTAATCCAGGGGAGGCCGCAGCCCACCACGGGTTCTACAGTCTGCAGAGCCAGCGACCCTGGACCTGCCGCCGCTTCTTCCTGGCCCCTCTATCCCGTCTCCCACATCCTTGGCCACACAACAGGAGGAGCTATTTCTGTGCAAGATCCAGTCCTTGTCCAAAGGGAGAAGAAATAGATGTCTAAAGCTCAATTAAGACAGTCACCCAGGTCACCTAGGGGGTTTCGAATCAAGCTCTTCCTTTTAATTCTGTGAGGAAGGAGAGAGTCGGGGCCCATCTTGGGCTGCTCAGGAGAAAGAGGTGGTGAGCTCTGGCGTCATCCTCCAGACACTTGGAACCTGGCTGGGCTCACACATGGGCCTGGATCAGCTCGGTAGAGGCAGGATCAGGAAGGGGCCGTGACAGAGTTTCCATGTCAGGACTCCACACTGGCTTCCTTAAACTTCAAGGTGCATTCAAACCAGCCACATCTTGCTAATACAAGAGTCTGAGTTTTAACTCCCAGTTAAAATGCTGTTGCTGCTGGTCTATACCAAGCTTGGAGTCAGAGGATCTAAGATACTAAGGGCAGGGTGATGCTTAATTAGGGACCACTTGTAGGGTGCAGAGACGCTACACCTACAAGTGGTCCCTAATTACACAGGAAGTGCAAACAAGTGGCCATCTTTAAAGGCACCCGTGAACCACATAGGCTGTCCTCTCTGGGTTGGGCACAACTTCAAATGGTCTGTCATGTTGACAAGGCACCATAGCTTAATTCTTGATCAGAAAAGCTGATCCCTGTAATCCTAAGCGTGCTGTTCACTGAGGACTGACTAGAAAACAACCTTTCCAGTACACAAAAACTGAAAGTTCCATTCTGTCACATTTTCCAAAGCTCATCTGGCTCATTGGACACAGGTCTTTACTGGAGCTCTTTAAAGCACCTCTAGAAAGATCTGGTGCCTGAAGAGCAGGGAACGGCTAACATCAGAAGGGAAAAACCAGACTGACCTCTGGTCCTCTGGAAGGTACCTGCAAGAGAAACCTGTTCATCAGGTAAAAGAGAAGGATAGGGAAAATATCCCCCCAAAACTCCTCAAAATAGTTGAAGAAAAAGAATCCAGAGCCAATCCAGATCATTTGGAAAGATTTAGACATTGGAGGAGATGCCAACTGTGTTCTCTGTGACCTACGTGAAGGAAGGTGGAGAAGGAGGCACAGAGACCAAGCCTCCTGCGCGGCGCCCCCTTTCTTACTTGGCAATGAGGTGAACCCCGAGTTGGTGATACAGTGCTTGGGAAAACTGGTTCCAGCAGTTCTTTTTCTTCAGAGCAGCATCCACCTCTTGTAATCCGGAAGAGTTCAGCAGAGCTCTCAGGGCGTCCCGGGCATAGCTAGTAAAGGACAGCGAACTTCACATAACCAAGTGTGCATGCCCGGGCCCTGCACCCCCTCTTAGGCAGGATAGGGTTTGGAGAAAGGGAATGTTTCAGAAGCAGGAGGTCACCCCACAGGGTCATCTCAGCAGTATAAGGGGTGGAGTTTGAATTAAAACCGTAGCCACAAGATCCTTGCTAGTTTATGGGCTTATTGGTAAGAGATGCTGGACAATGTGACAGCCTGCTGAAGGTGTCCCTTTCCTTGGTGGACGCCATAAGTAGATAGGATAGGTTTCCATACATCCAGGGCCGGCTCCTGTTTCAGGGTGCCCCCTGGTTTAGATGTCCACACCAGACAAGGCAAACCGCTGACCGCTGGGCTGGGATGCAGTGCTGCCCCTCCTCCCTCACCCCGCCCCCACAGAGCAACGGGAGTGGACAGCGTCCCGGGGCCTGGTGGCCTCTACACGCACACACGGAGTGGGGGGGTCCTGCCTAGGTCCTAGGACAGTCAGTGAATGCACCCGCAGGAGGCAGGAGCCCCCAGGCCCCAGGGCTGGACGCTCGTCGTGGGTGCGCTCACAGCGGCCTGTCCTGGGGCATCACTCTCAGCTGGCTGCTGTAGAAGAGCTGCAGCATGAGGGCCAACAGGAGGTGCGGGAAGAACTGGGCCACGGCCTTCTTGTAAGAGCCCACGGGCAGAAATGTGCACAGAGCCTGCGACGCCTGTTGGGAGGAAGAGGCCCGTGAGTCTTGCCATGAAGAAAGGCGGAACTCTGCCACCCCCCACCCCGCCCCAGGAAGGCAGCCGCTGCCTGCCGTCCCCCCAGCAACAGCAGAGCCAGGAGCACCAGAGCACCGGTCATGGCTGCAAACCAGCACAAAGCAGGCTGGCTCCAGGGAAGGCCCACGTCCCGGGGTCCTTCATCAGTGGCCGTGAAGAGGAGTCCTACCAATAACCCAGGCCTCCGTGCTGAGCAATCCAGGGAGGCGGCATAGGTAAGGTAAAGGGTGGGCCCGCTGGTGCCCGGGTCTTTTGGTGTGCTGACCCCTGGGAAGCCAGCACAGGAGATCTTCACGTCCCAGCACCTCGCCATGTTCCTCTGTTATATTTCTGCAAAACCTGAATTTATTCCCCAAAATGGTGATTTGGGTCGTTGGGGGTGTGTCCCCTGGACGCAGGTGCAATTAGCCCCTCCCGTGTCTAGATGACCATGTGATTTAGCCGGAGGCTGCCCCTCTGCCACCTACACCTGCGCCCTAGCTCCGTTCAGCCAGATTCCCGGGCTCCCGGCGTTCCCCAACACAGGTGAGCTCCAGTCACCACAGGGCATTTGCTCTTCTGTTCCTCCTGGACACATGCAAAGACCACCCTCACCAGACTCAGGTGTCTGACTAGATGTCATCTCAGCAGAGAGGCCTGCCCTGACCCGCTGACCTAACCTTCGCCTTCCCACCCACACCAATGTATGTTTCTTTTGACACATGTCACACTTATTTGTTCCTCGCCTCCGTTCTCAGCAGAATGCAAGCTCCCAGGTCTGACAGGGTGTTGGAGAGTGGGTGCCCGAGGGGGGACTGGGATCTCCCCCCAGGAACACAAGGCTGGGAGGAGGCACGCGTGTCCTTTACCGCCACAGGCATCATGTTGGTGGCGTCCAGGGAGAAGCGCCTCTTTTCCTCCATGTCCTCCTCCGTCTCTCCGGGCTTTCCTTTCAGGATCAGAAGGATAGTCTTCAGCACAAGAGGGGCCACGCTGCCCTCGGAACCCGCCGCTTGCCACATCAGTATCAGAGTGCTGTGGACACAGAGGGCTGCGGCCTTAGGGGAAGCCGCCTGGACCAGCCCCAGGTGGACTGGCATCCTGTTCTAGTGATCCCACATGTGGTTATCCTCAAAAACAGAGGAAGAAGTGAAATAAGATCTTTAAACAAAAACAGTCTGCATGTCTGAGTGGTCATTTCTTACTGCTATTTAAATGTCTGCCAAGTTCATGTCAAGAACCCCTCCGTTTCTCTGCACCCCAAACTCCGCTCCTCTAGCTCCTGATCCCGTTGGTCCAGGAAGAGTGGCACACTTAAAGACTGGCATGGGGATACAAATGCAAATCAAAATGTAGACGATTCTTTAAAACCCTAAATAAAGTAACTAACTAAAAAATAAAAACCGGAGCTCATTTGGCCAAATGTCCCATAAAATTTTGATGGTGACACAGATGTGACTAGAGCCCTGGCTTCTTCAGTCCCCGAGCTCCGTTCCCTACACACTAGCCGCTGTCCATGATTATTCCTACCTTTGCTCATCTTAAAAACTGCAGCTTATCTTTCTGCCGATATATTCCCGAGACCTTGTGGATCTGTGCAGAGTTCTGATGCCGCTAGCTCAGTCTTCCTGGCTCCTACTTTGGGGCCTGGATTACGTGGATGTGCCCACTCTGTGGAGCGGCCCTTGCCCTCAGGGCTCACACTGAGAACCCCGTGGACAGCCCGTCGCAGGCCTGTCTTGTTTTCTTGCATCTTGCTCATAACTTGTCCAGCTTGGCTCCAGCTCTGAGCCTTTTCCACCCGTCCTTGCTCACCAGAGCGTAAGACCTGGGCCAGGTGGCTGGTTTGCCTGGCTCTGCCCGCTCCCTGTGCCTCCCTGTGCCTCCCTGCTGGTCATCTGCACTGCAGTTATCAGCAGGTTTTGCCCTCGTGGGTCTATTCCCCTGCAAAGGCTCGAGGGTGGATGACACTGTGTGCACAGCGGTGCCTCACGCCTGAAGGGGGGGGACACCGAGTCTCCCCGCGCTCTTTCCAGGAATGTAATGGACAGTAAGATATGCTGTGGGTTCAGCCTCCTAAAAACCAGCAATCTCTCAGTCAGGAAAAAAAAGTATATACTCTGTTCAGAACATTAAAAAAAAAAAACACTCTATGAATTTTTCCCCTCAAAATAAAAGAGTAAATTCATAAATGGGAAGAAAAGATCCTTCATCATTTTGAGAAGTTTGTTCCTGTGTGATCTGTGATAGAATATAGTTGAAAGCCTCAGGTAATCGACATTTCTTTTTTTTTTTTTTTTTTTTTTTTTTTTTTTTTTTTTTTTTTTTAATCGACATTTCTTGAGGGCCTACTGTGAGCCAGGTATCCCACAAGGTTACAAATAATAGATATCATCTTATCTAAGCCTCACAATCATCCAACATGAGGTAAAGATAGATATCCTCAGAAATAAGGAACTGGCCTCACCATGACGGGTGGAGATTGGAGCCAAGTCCCTCTGACTGTGGAGTCTGAGAACAAACCTGGATGGGGGTGGGGGGGGCTGTGGGGGTCTCCTTACTCATCAGCGGGCACCGGGTAGTCCATGAGTTGAAAGATGACCTTCTTGGGTGAAGTGCGCGTCAGCAAGGTGGTGACCCGCAGCATAGAGTGCTTCATGCTGTGGGAGGGATCGTCACGCAGCTTCTTATAAATGAAATTCACAATCTTAGACACCTGGAAGAGAAATTCCTCAGATAGACCCCAGTCTCCCACGGCAAAGCCACCTTTCAACCAAAGCATTGCTCCATGGAAGTTTCAGCAGTGAACACACAAATACGCACCAGCAGAAAGTGTGTGTGATGTGTGTGACCACACAGTGCACTTCTGTAGAAGGGGGACCAGCAGGAGAGGAGGATGGGCAGGGAGGGAGGAGGGGAGGTGCCGGGGCCCAAGTTGATCAAGTTACGCTGTGGGCCTGTAGGGTGGCGCCGCAGTGGGTCTCGCTCTTCTGTGTTACTATGCGGTGATAATTTTAAAAAGCTGGGCATTCACGGATATTGGAGAAATGCCTATTTTTAGAAAATTTGTTTTGGGAGGCCAGACTTCATTATATAAGGCATACAAGCTTAATGATAGAAAAAAATATATATTATCTTAAAGAAGAAAGTCAAAACAATTGAGTAGAATAATGATGGACATATTTATCTCAAAAATGGTTCTGAGAATTAAAGAACTGGACCTGCATATTGAGGGCGCGAACTGGGATGAGAGGAATCAGCCAGAGTGGTGAACCCTGAGCCATAATCTTGCAAACTCTGTTCACAGGTCCCATGTTTGTTTTACTTCTCCTCCTTTTTTACCCATTCCTGAACAGGAGAGTCCCCGCTAGACCTGGAACGTGTCTGAAAGCAATGAAGTCTCGCATAGTGCAGAGCCCTCCCGTACCATGGGTGCTCCAAGCACCAGAGACCTACACCTCGTCTCCTCCAGGGACCTCCGCACTGTAGGCCCAGAGCTGCTGCTGCTTGGCCTCCTCCTGCTCTGATGCGGCTCAGCCCTAGGACAAGCCAGCCCCGGCCCTGGGTGCTCAACTCTGGGGTGATGATCTGTTTCAAACTCAGAGAAACACTCGATGTGTTAGACCCACGCAGAGCTCCTAAGGCCACACAGCATTATGTGCCACTGGGGCGGGGGTGTATTTTTAACCCCCGAGGCTTGGTAGCCCAGTTGTCTGTGGGAGCTGGGGAAGGGTGATAAAGTCAGAGAACCCCATTTTTGTTCCGTTCTATGTGGTTAGTGGATGTTTGTTTCTGGCTTTCTGGTGCTGTTCTTTCTCTCCAGGGACTTGGAATGGCTTCATCTAGCCTCCCTTGGATGCTCTTTCCTCCTGTTAGAGGAGAACTCTGTGGAGTGGAGTGAGTGGGGTAGTCATTGTAGGAGCTCCTTGAAAAAAAGTCCCTTGCTCTCTCTCCCTCTTGCAATCTTCCCTTGCCCTTCTGCCTGCCACCATGAGATGATGCCACAAGGAGGCCCTTGCTAGATGCAGGATCCTCAAGCTGGGACTTACCAGGCTCCAAAACTGTAAGAAATGAATCTCTATTTGTTTTAAATCACCCAGCCTCAGGGATTCTGATAGAGCTACACAAAGCAGACTGAGGCAGAAACCCCCTATATTCTTTCCATCTTTCTTTACTTATCAGCAAGGAGAGGATGTTAGACTATGTGAATGACAACAAGTAAAATAAAAGCAGCTGAATTAGTTTTGGGTAGTGTTTTCACTCATTTGGTAACAATGAAATGCATTTGTGTGTATATGCTATAAAATATAAATTGTTTTATTTTGGTAAATGGCATTTCGCAATATAGATGTGGATAGCAAAGTTTATGTAATAGTTTAAAATTATTTAAAACTAAAATTGTTCTTTTTATTTAGAAAAACACCAAATTCGAACATCAACAAGTAATGAATACTTGAAAGAGGGAGACCTCTGAGGAAAGGTGACCACCTCGTGTGCTGACACACATCATGACACTGTCCTCCCATGTGGTGAGGACACGGGTCCATCTTTCATTTTTCCTAGACTCGACAAACTATGCCAAGCTGAGGGTCCTCGAAAACTTGCCTTAAAGGCTGTGCAGATTTCAATTAACCCTACTGTTATTGTTATTGAAAGATTTCTTTTATAAAGATCAAACATGGCAAAATATTATAATTTAATATGATTGATTGGGTGGATATTCGTTATCATATTCTCTAAAATTTTCCATATGGTGAAATATTTCATTTAAAAAAGCCTCATTTTAGTAAAGTGACAGAATGAAAAATGGCAAGGACTGTAAACTGAGAGAAAGAGATTTAGAGCAAAGTCAAAAGGTAGACTTGAGAGAGTAAGCCCTCCCGCCTCTGCTCACTGCTGAGTCTTACCATGATGACCTTCTGGGAGTGGTACTGCAGAGTCAGCTTCAGGATGGAGGCTGCCTCAGAGGCAATTTCAAAACTGGCTTCAGACAGTTTCATCAGCAGGGTCCACACAAAGTCAGTCAGCAAGGAGGGCAGTAAAGTATTTCCTACACTCTGCAACCAGAAGGAGAGTTGTGACCTCAGACCTCACAGCAACCCAGGAAAACGCTGAACTCAGACCCTGGGGGAAGCTCCGGGCCAGGCAGGGCCTCGAGACCTCCATGGGCCTCTGTGGGCTCTTCCTTTATTAAAAACTAACAGAAGTCATATTTTCTAATAGTGCCAGTATAAAGACGACTATAATCCAAGGGTAATTTTGTTCGGTTTTGTGTTCTGATTTTAAAACAATTCTGCTGTCCAGGTATTGTGGAATCTTTAGCCTTGGAAATGAGTTTGCTCAGGTCAGAAACAAGTACAGTGAGCAGATGCAGGAGGAGGTGGGCAAGAAGTCAAGGTGACTCAAATGTGCACCTCAACAACTAGGAAGAGAGAGAGGGTCTGTCGGCCCACCACTGAGGTCAAAGAACGACTATGCCAACAACCCTCTTCTAAAGTCAGAGGAATATCCATGGACCGAAAAATTAGATTACAATTGTATGATTATGGACCAAGGAAAGATGAATGAACCCTTTTCTCCTTGTCCTTTACATGAGAAAAATCACATTCTTCCAAGTTCAGAAGGTACCCAGTCCCAACAGTAAAGCTTTTCTGTATTGTCCACAGGGATGGGTGATCACCTTTTTCAATGGAAAAGGACTGAGGTCTGAGTGAGAATGGATGACCACCAGCCCTGCTTCCAGTGGGCAGGGGTGAAGGGTGGGATCCTGGAGAGGGATGGAAACCAGAAGAGGGCAACCAAGGCTCTGCGAACCCAACCCAATACTGGAAACAGTTGGCCTTACTTGAAGAAAGCCAAATTGAATGTGAGATGCTGAATTAAAAAAAAAAAAACATCAGGAGGAGAAATATTCTTTTTTGAATATTTATTTATTCAAAAAATTTAATCTAGTATCTATCTGAACGTTGTGGGAGTTTCTCAGTGCAACTTAGAACTAAAGTTGGATGTTTCTGTGAGGTGAAGACCCGGGTATGAAGGTAGACACAGCAGAGGATGGCGTTAACTTCATCAGATGAGATCAACACAGAGCCACAGTGTCACCCCACATCTACAGACCTTCTCTTGCTATTGCACCCCCTTGCTGAATGCCCTGGATGCTCCTGTTGGGAGTTGCCCGGGCTCCAAAGACTAACTTCCCCATTCCCCAAGAAGAGCCGTCCAATGGTGAGCCCTGCTAGGCTCACATGATCCTGGCATCCAATAGTGAGCCTTGCTGGCTCACATGATCCTGCTGTCCAATGGGGAGCCCTGCTGGCTCACCTGATCCTTACCCACCAATCAGACTAGCCCTGCTGGCTCACCTGATCCTTACCCTCCAATCAAAAAGCACCCCATGCCAACTGTCAAACCACCCCTGGCTCTATAAATATGTAGAGCTGTTCCTCAAAAAACAAGCCTTGTTCGTTCTTTCATTGGTGCCGAAACCTAGGAGAGAGAATGCCTCGCTGCTCGAGGGCCCCCTCTCTCAAGGCTTGCCATCCTGGTCCACTCTTTCAAGTGCTGTTTACAACACCAGCTCTTCAGTAGGTGAGTTCCCTTATTGGGTATCCAACTTCAGATGGGCTACGCAGGGGCTTTGACTGTGATCGTCTGGCAAACCTCTGACGCCCAATCTGGAGGAAAGAATGCACCCCACCACGACCTTTATGGTCACAGTGGACTCTCTGGAGCCTGGTTCATGAGCAGGAGGTCCTGAAGGGTGGAAGAACAAGCACTTCTCTCTCTCTCTCTCTCTCTCTCTCTCTCTCTCTCTCTCTCTCTCTTAAACACCCTTGTCCCTCTCCTGACCTATGGGGGCCTCTTCTTCCCTCCCTGCAGACTCCCCTTTTTAAATTCTGCACACACAATTGGCCTTACTATCGATTAGACAAAGTCAATGGCCCCCAGGAGGATCCCTAGACCCTGCAATTCTCAGAGATCTGTTTAACTTCTGCGAGCGCTCGAAAAAGTGGAAGGAGATCCCCTATGTTGAGGCTTTTTCTCTTCTTCATTCTCACCCTACCTATCGGGCAGATGAACCCCCTCCCTACCGACCTCCCCCATTGGCTCCGTCCACCCCCTCAGGTGCTCCCCCTGACTCGGCCGACACCTTTAGTTCCCCCCAAACTAGGTCCAGCCCCTAGTCCCACAAATCATAGCCCCTTTAAGAGAGGTTGCTGGACCTGAGGGCATTATCCAGGTACATGACTTGTTCTCTATGAATGACCCCATGCAACTCGAGCGAAGGTTGGGCTCATTCACCACAGAAGAGAGTTTCAAAAGGGCCCTCCAGGCTTAGAGCCTCACTCATATGTTATTGGCTAATACTCTTCTTCCTGAGGAACGTACCAGAGTCTGGGAACTTGCCAGAGCCCAGGCGGATGAAACTCACCGAGTTAATCCCAATCACCCTACGGGGCCACTTGCTGCCCCAGATCAAACTCCCAAAACCCCAGATGGCCATCATGTCCTTATGACATATTTCCTCTCACAGAACTACCTTGGCATCTGGGCCAAACTAAAAAAGCTCAAACAAGGAAGGCCCCACCATCCTCCTGACCGAGAAATTTCAGATGCTCGCCCAGGTCCTGCAGGATGCTTCCTTGGGTCGCCGCCCATCACCGAAAACCCCCTGGGCACCTGCTTCAAGTGTGGCAAGGAGGGACATTGGGCCAGGGCATGCCCCACACCACGCACTCCGCATACCCCATGCCCTAAATGTCAACAACAAGGTCATTGGGGGCTCTGACTGTCCTAGATCTCATAGGAGACCTATGGCCAGGGAACCCTCTGACCTTCTGGGCATGGCAATCAATTGATGGTGCCTTGGGTCCCTGGCCATAACAGTCAATAGACAGAAACCCAGGGTGCAGATTCAGGTGGATAGGTGCAAGGTTGATTTTCTCCTTGACACCAGAGCTACCTTCTCAGTCCTGACAGAATTCTGGGGGCAAAGAGTTGTAACTTCTTAGCAAGGAGTGCCGTCCACCTCTCCTATTGTCGTGGTAGGAGGAAAGACCATCTATCCAAGAAAGACTCCCCTATTACTCTGTTCCATAGACAACTTCCCATTCTCTCAGACATTCCTAGTTATGCCCCAATGTCAAGTTCCTTTGCTCGGCTGAGATATTCTCTCTAAATTCAATACAACAATCAACATACGGGCTCCTGGCATCAGTCAGGCCCCAGAATCGGCCTGTTCATTTTTTCTGGCCCTTTTGGAAGAAAATTGGCCATTCTGCTCCACTTGTGAGGCTGACTTGAAATACCATACTAACCTAGTTGACCCTATTGTATGGGATACCCACACCCCCTCCACCATTTCCTGATTATTCAGGACATTCTTAGCAAGGGGTACCTCCGTCCTGCTCATTCCCCTTACTCCCATACTAGCCGTAAAAAAGCCCAATGGGTCCTACCTACGACTCATCAACACTTCCATTAGGCCCATAAAGTTCTTCTTACATCCTTTGGTTCCCAACCCATACACCCTGCTGTCTCAGATCCTCCACACTGCCACCCACTTCTCGGGCATAGATTTAAAGGATATCTTTTTGCCTTTAACCTGGACTGTCCTGCCTCAGGGATTTCAAGATAGTCCACACCTCTTTGGACAAACCTTGGCCTCTGACCTCCAATCTTTTCACCCCCAGTGCCCCGAATCCACCCTCTTACAATTTATTGATTATCATCTGGCAAATCTCTTTGCCCACCTGCAGGGAGGAAAGCACCCCACCACAGCCTTTAGGCTATGGTGGCCCTCAGGGACTTATTCCTTGGGCATATTCCAAAATCCTAGTCCTCTCACCTTAAGACTCGGCTGATAGAGGGATGCTTACCCACCCCTTCCTCTCCCCTCTTTCTGGCCCTGGGAGTATCCGGCCTCTCCAGGAGGGGTCCTGAAAAGCCTTGGCCAAGGTCTCCCACTGCTCTGGCTCCATCCAGGACAAGAGCTTCGACTGTCAGGATTCGGTGATGACCAATCTCTGCAGCTCGAACCTGCCACTTAGGCACTCCTGATTTTTTGGCTCTAGCGGGGCCCCCCTTTGCCAATAAATCAGTTTCCTCCTTCTCTTGTGTCCTCCTTACATGGGTAATGTGTCCTCTCTGCCAGTCGACTCTCCCCTACAATGCCTCTTGGATCAAACATAGCACCCAGGCCTGGCCCACTTATCCCTTAGACAACCAAAGCAGATGGCCCCTTTTTGGGTCCCTGGATCCCTCCATTCTAAGGAATCTCTTCCAGGCTTTCTTCTTGCTCCGATCCAATCCTGCTCTCTGCACCCCTTTCAAACAAATTCTTCTAGCCCATCCAAAGGGTGCTCAACAGATGACAGAGTTCTCCTACTTAATTTCTTGGCCTTAAAGAGATATTGGGCCTCTCCACAAAAGGCCCAAATAGCATGTATCTAGGGTTCTCTATCTCTCAAGGGAAAAAAGGCCATTACAGTAGACAGAAAACAGCTTATTGTTTCCATATCTACACCAAAGACCAAATGTGACTCTCCTTCTTGGGTTTGGCTGGGTACTTCAGGGCCTGGATTCCTATATAATCTGGCCAAGGGTCCCCAAGATGTACCCCTAACTCTCAGCGGTAGGGAAGCCCTTTAAAAAGGCCCCCCTCTGGGCACCTGCCCTGCATCTCTCCAACCTCTCCCGACCCTTCACCCTCTATATAAAAACAGGGACAAAGTCTGGGCATTCTGTGTCAGGAATATGGCCCCACACTTGCACCAGTGACCTACCTATCCAAACAGTTTGACCCCACTGTCAGGGCTGGCCCCCATGCCTCAGAGCCCTAGCAGCAGCCCATGACCTCCAGAAAGAAGCACACAAGCTTAGCTTTGGCTCCCCGCTAACCATCTCATCTCCTCACCATTAAAGGATTTCCACACTTACAAGGGGCTACAGTCACTTCCTCCTTCCAGGGTCCTATCCCTCCTTGTCTCTCCTTGAAAATACCTCCACCTCTTTTCTGCCCTGCTCTCCATTAAACCCTGCCTCCCTCCTCCCATCTTCTCCCTCACAAGATCCTGTCCACAAATGCCTGGAGGTTTTAGAGACGATTTTGTCCTGCCCTGCCACCATTTCTGAGGGACCCCTGCCCTCTTCAGACCTCATCTGGTTCTCAGATGGTAGCTCCTTTATACACGAAGGGGTTAGAATGAGGGGTATGCTGTCGTTTCCCTCTCATCCATCATAGAGGCAAAACCTCTCCCACCCAATACCACCAACCAACAAGCTGAACTCAGAGCTGCCCCAGGGCATGTGAGCTAGCGGAGGGAAAAACCCTCTCCCTATGTAATACGTCTTCCATATCCTGATCTCCCACGCAGCCATTTGGAAAGAAAGGGGCTATTGACCACCAGAGGGACGGCAGTCATTAATTCCACACTTATTTCTGGCCTACTACGAGCCTCCAGCTGCCTTCCCAACTGGGAATGATCCATTGCAAGGCCCCAAACTGACTCCTCCCTTACTACTATGGGGAATTCCAAGGCCGTTCAAGCGGCTCCATCAGCCGCCCTACAGAGCTTTACCTCCTCTCCGCTACTCTTGGTTACCACAGGGATCGGCCGGAGAATCCCCAACAGTTAACTCTTCCAGTTCCTCACTCTCTATTCCATTCTAGTCCACAGAGTCTCACTACTTTCCTTCACTCCTTTTTCACCCTTTCCCCACATGATAAGACCCTCCTACAACATATCACTTCCGCTTGTCAGATCTGCCAGAGAACCAATACCAATACGCCATTAAACCTTTCCCTTCTCATCAGGCCCGCCGTCGTACCCCGGCTGCAGACTGGCAGATTGATTTCACCAACATGCCCTGAGTAAAAAACATTTTTATCTTCTTATATTGGTAGATACTTTTTCGGGATAGGCTGAAGCCTTTCCCACTTCCAATAAACGGGCCTCTACAGTAGTTGATCTATTGCTTACTCACATAATCCCCCATTTTGGGATGCCCACTTCTATCCAATCAGATAATGGCCCAGAATTCACCTCGCAGATAACTCAGGGACTGGCTCATGCACTATCACTCCCTTGGCAGTTCCATTGCCCTTACCGCCCCCAGGCTTCCGGAAAGGTTGAAAGGACCAATCGGTCCCTTAAAGAGACCCTCACCAAGCTCACCATGGAATTAAGCCTGGACTGGGTAGAGGTGCTCCCCTTGGCTTTGTTTCACATTAGGGCCTTGCCAAAGAAGCCTTCTAATCTCTCACCTTTCTAAGTCATGTATGGCCGTCCCCTCGTTCCTCCCGGATTGCCTACAGAACCCCTACCCATCTCCGAAACCTACGCCCTGCCCCTCCTCTTCCATCTATGCTCTGAACTCTGGTGCTATCAAGCCTGGCTCCTTCTTGACCCCAGTCTCTCTCAAAACTCTACCTCCTAACACCTGGTCAACTTGTTCACTCTCACCCACTGGGGGAAAAGCCCCCTCTAAAGCCAAACGGGAGGGTCCTGCTCATGATTATGTGCACTCCCTTGGCAGCCAAACTCAAACTACCTAATAACCAACTTACTCCATGGATTCATATTTCCAGACTTAAGCCCGGCACTCCTACACCTTCATCAGAAGAGCCAACCATCGTCACCTGTCATTAAGTACACTTGACAATGCTCCCACTCATTTTTGGCCTCTCTTGGTCCTCTCTTCACCCTATGTCTGGAGATTCAAGGCAAGTGACCCTAAGGGCCCCCTCCAGCCAGACCCCCTTTTCTTCCTTTCAGATCCCCCCTTACTTGCTTGGATCTGGCCAGTAGTGGGACCGTTGTGGGTTGTCCTTCTGACAAACCACTTAGGTGTCCAGAGCATGGTGACCCCTGAATAAGTGTGATCATAAGAGAGCACTTTACCAGTTGCCTTCTGGGCCTAAGGAGGAACATATGTGTTTTATTTATCCTCCCAGTTTCATAAGAATTTCAAGTATCAGTATTTAAAGTTGAGGTGTTTTACATAAAACCTGGAGAGAGATGACTGCTCTCAAAGGGAAATATGGTAAAAATGAGCCACTGTCCTCCCTTGGCTGCCTTCGAAAAAGGCAAAGAGAGAAGAAGCTGGTACACCCAGGTAGGAGAAAGTTTGAAGAGCAGCTTTAATAGAGAGGGGAAGGAGCTAGATTGGACTAGGAATGAAGAGTGGGATTGAGGGTGTTAGGTGCAGGTCAGGCTGGTCTGCAGGTCATGCCAAACAAAGTTAGCTGCAGGATGACCTGGCTTCTCAAACCCTCTGTCTGGTTCTATATCACCTGTTTGCTTCAAGCCCAAACACCCAAGCCCCAACTCAAGGCTGAACACTTAACCCCCTTTGTGCCAACAAGACAGCTTGCAGACCCAGGAACCCCATTAGATTTGGGCTATAAAAACTCCCTGTGCCTGTTCCTTCCCTTTATCATAAAGTTCATTCAGACTTAGGTGGGTAAAAAATTTCGAATCAAGCTTTTACCAGCCTCTCCTCAGGAATTACCAACTCCTGGCTACTGATGATACCTCCAGTCGAGACCTATGCCGAATGGACTAACATCATCATGGATCTGTGGTGGCAAGGAACCTTCGTTGATACCGGTCTTCTCTGCCCTGCTATGGGGGCTCCTTACTTCCCTCCTCTCTTTCTCCCACACCGCCCCATTTCAGCAGGAAGCAGCCAGAATGAGTCTACGTCCACTCTCATTTAATAGCAAAGAGGGAGGAATGTTGGGAGTCACCCTGGCTCCAAAGACTAACTTTCCCATCCCCCCAAAAGAGCCGTAAAATGATGAGCCCTGCTAGGCTCACATGATCCTTATCTACCAATCAGACTAGCCTTGCTGGTTCACCTGATCCTTACCCTCCAATCAAAAAACACCCCATGCCAACTGTCAAACCACCCCTGGCTCTATAAATATGCAGAGCTGTTCCTCAATAAATGGGCATTTGCTCCAACGACAAGCCTTGTTTGTTCTTTCACTACCTGTTGTAACAGTTGCATGATATGCTGGGGACTTGACATCCCACCACTTGTCATTTATTTATCCATGCTGGACGTACACTTCAGAGCACAAGCTTTTGCCAAGAACCTCTTCTTGTAAACTGATGAACTGTTTTGGATTATTTCCTTTCCATAAATTCCATGAGTTTTTTTTCTTTATAAGACAGTGTCCTCTTTTACAAACTGTTACTATATAAAAGGAGGGAGCCTTCGTCTGTGAATAGCCTTTATGTTTTCAATGCAATCCTCCCATTTTAATGGTGTTTTGCTTCAGTGCCTTGAGCTCACACCTGGCTGTGATGCTCCTATTTGTGATCTTTGGATTTTGACGGTGGTCCTCTCAGTCTCCTTGCTACAACTTTGGATTCTATGGACCCATCTACTGGTCTTCTTGTTCCAACTTGAATGCTCCAAACTCACCTATTTCACCTTCTTTGGAAAGTCCCTACCTACTGCTCCTGCACTCACGGCCAGCATCGAACTTGCTTTGGTCTCAACTGGGAACTGAAAAATAGGTCACACACACAAGGACCCAGGGTACCCCAACCAAGGAATTCAAAACCTGGTAGACATTAAATACAGAAAAGAGAGGACTCCAGGGTGGACGTTGTGATAGCAACTCTCATAAGCCACTTGCAAGAGGCCCCGAGGAAGCTCCCAGTCCCAGCCTCACTAGCCCAATCATGGAGTTAGGGTTTTAACTCTAGGGCACCAGGGGGGTGGCAGGATGGATGAGAATGGTTTGCTGACAAACCTACACAGATGCCTTGTTTCTTCATGAAAGTGACCAACTTCATGGTCAACCAGGCTTGCAATAGTTGTGGGGTGGTAAGTAGGAAAACCCCTTGATTTTGGAAAGATGTGCCATCCTGTATATGCATATTTAAGCTGTCTTTGTAATGTATTTACTATGTCATGTTAGATGCATTGCTTCAGCATATCTTCAGCCTCCCACCATTCCAACCAGGGGAGGAGGAACTTCAGTCAGGGGAGTAGAAACTGCTTATGTCTCTAGTTTTAGGAACTCTAGGCCCTTCTTCCCCAGAAGACCAGCTAGCCTGAAGGGCCACCCCTGGAGTTTTTCTGAGTGACTGGCTCCAAGTGTCTGTCCATTTGAGAGCCCAGTCTGTACCCAGCTATTTTTTAGCCAAATAAAAAACAGTATAACTAGGAAACATTCATCTTATTTGCATTTATAACCATTAAAATATGTATCAAATAAATATTTGTTATTAGAAAATGCTACAAAGTGCTATACTTGAGAATAATAGACTTAATTCTTCTTGATAGGAATAAAAGTCAGGAAACCAAGTGCTCTGTATATCATTTACCTAAGTGGGGCGATGGTACCTGAGCAATCTTAAGTTTGTCTCGTTGTAAGGTGTTGGGTTGGATTTCCACTTGAGGAACAGTAGTCAGGTGGCAATAACTTCCAAGTGTGTTATAATTTATAGGTGAATTTTTTTCAAGGTCTGTTGTATTAAGGAAAAGAGTTTAAAGTTTCTACTTGATCGTAAACTATGATATATTGATCATATATTGACATATGCTATTTAAAGGTCACAACTTTGATGATATTGCTCTTTCCAATTTTCTTTTCCTCCCCAGTTCTATAGAGCTAGTCTTATGAATATGAAACTCTATGCCCATAGCTATGGCTCATAAAATATTATAATGGCACTGACCCAGAATGTATAAAGTATTTAAAATAAGCTATGTGAAAAATGAAGGACATAAATAATTTTTAGAGATTGACCAGATATCAGATGCATTTAGGCCATCAAATGTGATGTTCAGTGACTGGAAGAAGCTATTTCTAAGTTGCAGGGTTTGCTGATCAGAGAGTTAACTAACTCGGAGGTACTTTGAAAAGGTCTGAGGAGTGGTGCCCCAGGAAAGCCAGGCTCTCAAGGGGAGGTTCAGGTACAGATGTCCTTACTTCCAGGAAGATGTGTTTTTAAGGATTTCACTCCATAAATAGCCTTATGGAGCTGTAACTGACATATACTATTTAAAGTGCACAACTTTGTAATTTTTTGCACATGTGTACCCCCACAAACCCATTTCCACAGTCGAGAAATGAGCATATCTGTTGCTTCCAGGTTTCTGCATGTATTTCCCATCATCTCACACCTGCTTCCCTACCTTTCTCCAGATTCCCAAGCAACCGCTCATCTGCCTTCTGCCATGTGCCTTCAGTTAAGTTCGCAATTCCTAATTTTTTATAAGTGAAGTCATATAGTCCCTACCCTTTTTCCACATTTTTATTAGTGCATTATAGTTGTACATAATGATGAGAGTCTACCCTTTTTGATGGATTCCTTTTACTCGGCAAAATGATTGAAATTCACCCATGTTGTTGCATGAACCCACAGCTCCCTCCCATCATTTCAGCTTTAGACATCCCACTGGGTGTGTAGTAATGGTTTTGAGTTTTGTTTCTTTAACGACTCTATATTGAACATCACCTGATGTGCTTCTTTGCCAAAATGACCATTCAAATCTATTATATGTTTTCAGATTGTTTGTCTTTTTTCTCACTGAGTTTTTAGGGTTCTTTGTGAATTCTGGATATGAGTCTTGTATCTGATATGTAATTTTCAAGGATCTTCTCCCTGTCTGTGGCTTAGTGACTAAGAGCGCCTGTCAAAGAGCGGGAGATGCTTAATTTTTCATTTTTTTTCATTGATGCATCATTTTTTTTGTATTTTATATAAAAAGTCTTGAGCTAACCCCAAACCCAAAGATTTCTTACAGTTTTTACATCTGGCTCAATCATACATTATAAATTACATTTTAAAATTGTCATTTTTCATGGATTAACATATTTTAATTGACACATAGTAACCCCACCCATTTCTGGGGTGCACTGTAACACCTCTGGAGAGGTGTGTAGTGATCAGATCAGGGTGTGTGGGCCACTCACAGCACCATGGTGAATACAAGTTGCCACAGTGCACATCCCCATCTTTTCCCAAAGCTTTCATGGAGTTCCTTCAGGTTTGCCCTCCTGGGTATGATGTAGTTTTAGGATTTTCACAGACACACTGTATTAGGTGAAGAGAGTTCTACTTTATTCTTAATCACTTTTTTTTAAAAAAAAAATAAGGAATGGATGATAGACTTCATCAAATGCTCTTTGTCCACTAAAATGACGACATGGTTTTATTTTTCCTTTGTTTATGGGGAATATTGTATTGATTGATTTCAAATGAGAAGTTGAGTGCACTACTGGGATAAATTCCACATAGTCATGATGGTTTTCTTTTATGTATTATTGTATTTGATTTGCTAAATTTGGGAATTTTTTGCATCTATGTACATGAGGGGCATTTGTTAGTTTTTTTTTTTTTTTTCTCCTCGCTATCTTTGGTTTTATTATCAGAATTATAGAGAAAGGGCCAGGAAAAGCCAGGCTTTTTTTTCTATTTGTATAGAATGGGTATAGAAATGGCATGATTTCTTTCTTAAACTTTTATAAGATAATTTCTGACTGGAGTTTTTTCTTTGTGGGTCTGGAGTTTTCTTTGCAAAAAGGCTGTAACTACAAATTGGGTTTTGTTGATAGACACAGGGGCGTTCAGTGATCCACACAAGTAGCTTTCGTGGTTTGTATCTTTTAGTTGATTTTTCTGTTTTCCCTAAGTTGTCAAATGTATTGGCATGAAGTTGTTTATAATGTCCCCTGTGATTCTTCTAGTATCTAGAGACTCTCCAGCAACGTCATTTCTGTTATCCCTAACATTGTTCACTTGTGTCTTCTCCCTTTTGGACCCCATGGTCTTCTCAAAGAATCTGCTGCTGGTTTCATTGTTTAATGATCTTTCTTGGTCAATTTCTGCTTTCCATTATGTGAATTTTAATCTCATCTTCATTCTTTCCCTTCTGCTGCTTCCTGTGGTTGTGTTTGCTCCTCTTTCTCCAGTTTTACGAAGTAGAATCTGAGATCATTGATGCTCCTCCTTTCTCAGGCAGGTCATCCTGTGAATTTCTCTCTTTATACTCCTTCACCTGCATCCCACAGATTTTGAAATTTTGAAAATTTGAACTTAATTTAGTTGAAAATACTTTTCATTTTCCTTTCTCCATCCTGTGGGTTATTTAGAAGTATGTTATCCAATTTTTAAACATTTTGGATTTTCCAGAATATCTTTTTGATTTTTATTTAAAATTTAACTCCATTTAATTATAATAATTAATTTCTTGATGTTTATCATCTAAATATCATCTATTTTGGAAAATGTTCTGTTTAACAAAAGCACTAAAAAATGTTCTTATTTTTATGATTGGTGGAGTGTTCTATAAATGTTGATCCTTATTGATTTTTTTGGTGTGATTATGAATTGTTGAGAGTTTGGTATTGAATACCCTAACTGCAATTGAATATTTCTTTACAATTATTTTGTTTACATTTTGATTTCTTAGAATAATGTATTTTTGCTTTTAGGTATGTAAGTGTTTCGGATTATTATGTCTACGTAATTACCCCTTTGTCATTATTAAATGACTCTCATTTTCTCTAGAAGCATCCTTTGTTTTGATTCATAGCTGCAATCCTATTTTCTTTTGATTAGAGTTGGCATGTTGTATAATTTTCCAACTTTAACTTTTAACTTATTTGTGCCTTAATGTTTAAAGTGGGTTTCTTGTAGGTAGCACTTATTTGAGTCTTGCTTTTTATCCAATCTGACAATCTCTGTCTTTTCATTTGGGATATTTAAAATATTTACATTTATTGTAATGTGGTTAGATTGTTCCCTTAACTATTTATTTTTATTTTTCTCATCTGTTCTTTTTCTACATCCCCCTTTGCCTTCTTTTGGATTAAGTATTTCTTATAATCTCATTTTATTTCCATTTTTGGTTCATTATATAAGTCTTTGTTATGTTAGAAGTTGCTTTAGAGTTTATACAATACATTTTCACCATATCACAGTTTACTTGTGTGATATTTCATGACTTTGTGCATACAGGGAACTTAAAACTGTATTCAAAAGTTTTTCCCCTTCAAGTCTTTGTGCTAATGTTGTCATACATTTTTATTTTTTGTGTGATCAACAGTTGATTTTTGTAGGGACTCAGATTAGACATGTGTTAGGTTGACTCTAATAGTCTCACACCTCACTGAAGCTCTGTTCATTTTTTTCATTCTTTTTATTTCTGTTTCATTTTTGCTAGTTACTATGTTAATAAGCTCACTAATCTTTTTGCAGTGTTAATATATATAATAACATTTGCTTATACTTATAGAAACAACATATATATACATGCATGTACATACATATGTGGGTATGTATATATTTAATTGTCATGTCATATATATGTTGCTTCTTATCTGAGGGTGAATTTATCCTCCGACATTACATCCCTGATGGAGAGACAGGATTCTAAAAATGTTTTTTAACGCTTTGTTCTGAGCTATAGTTAGTTTGCTTGGAAATAGTTTGGTATTTTCCAGTCTGGCATTTACACTGTGTTAGGCCAACCATTACAGCATTTATTTTCATTTTGGGCTGAGTTTTCCCCACCAACAAAGGAAGAGTCTTCTAGGAATTCTAGCTGATGACCCACTAGAGGGAAAGAAAATAGGCCTTTATTTTTCAAGTCCACTAGGAACCTCTCTCCTTCCCACCCAGCCCTGCCTCCGTCTGGCCTTCCTATTCCACATCAACACCCGACGCTTCCCTAAGCGCAGTACTTTACAGATGTTGAAGAACCAACTATACCACACTAGAATTTCTTGACAATGCCAGGAAGATTTTTTAAAATCACATTTTAGAAAGTGAAGCTACAGATCTAGAGATGGGATGTAGAAATTCCCAGACATTCTGTCTTCCTGGGACCCCCCAGGAGAATTATTAGGGGCAGATTCTTAATAACTTCAGCAGGTGGGATGAGCCCTTCTTACCTTTCTGCCACTTGGCGATGCAGAGCAGGTGGTGCAGTCCCATGGAGGCCTGGTTCATGATGTCATTTTCAGCATGACAACACAGGAGAGACAGCTCTGCGGCCAGAACTCCCAGACATGGGGCATCCACGCTCGTCTAATGGAGAAGGGAGGGAGAGAATCGTTGGTTATGCCCAGTCAACACTGAATGTCTGCATCCGAGACTCTCATTTACAGAACGGGTTTCAAGGATAAGCCTCAGAGTTTTAAAAACCTGTCCTCAATCCTCTGTTGCTGTGAAAGGAAGACAAGAAAACGCCATCCTGTGTTAGTTACATGAGCACAGAGGGGGACGCTCATGACCGAAAGAGCCCGAGAAAGTGCTGGACAAGAGTGCTCAAGGGAGGTTAGCTTCCACTCCACGATTAGGGAGTGGCTGGCAGGGAGCAGATCCCTGGGACAATCGGGAGCAGGAGGATGTGGTCATCCAAACTCTTGGAAGTTCCCTTTTCCGGTGTGAAATGCTTTAGATGACTCAGAGTCACTGGGGAAATGTGATGTTATTCCTCTTGGAATTGCTCGCATTCTTCCCAGAGAAAGTCATGTTTTAAAAACTCAAAGCCTTTCTTCAAAGCTGTTGCCACAACTTTCATGCCTTGCTGTTGAGAGCCACAGCCGAGTTGGAATGGCCCCTGGCATTTTGCCAGAAGTATTGGTTGAGAGGCGAGCCATTAAGATGATGATAATTAAGCTGTGTATAATTGCTATGACTGGATGATCCTGGATTGAAATAGGCTGTGTATTCAATTGTATATAGACCCCTGCTGTCCGCCTGAGGCGCCTGCTACTTTGGAGTTCTAGTTTCCTACTCTTGAAACCTGTGATTTTTATTTTATTTTTTGCATTTTTTTATTATGGCAAATTTATACATGATATGAAATTTGCCATTTTGGCCATTTTAAAGTGAATAATTTAGTTGGCAGTAAGTACCCTGCTAATGCTGTGCAACCCTTGCCATTACCTCATTCCAGAACTTTCCATCACCTCAGGTAGAATCCCTCTTCCATGAAGCAGTGACTGATGGTCCCCCTCCTGGCCTGGCAGCCACGTGTCCCTCAGGGTTTGCCTGTTGCCTAGTACACACACAGGGGATCGTATAACACACAGCCTTCTCTTGGGTCGGCTTCTTTTACTTAGTGTGAGGTGTTCACGCTTTGGCCATGGAGAAGTGTATCACACCCCCACTTGACAGGGTAACATGCCTTTGTATGACGACGTCAGGTTTGTTGGTCCATCTGTCTATCTATGGACATTTGGGTTGTTTCCGTTCTTAGCAATTTGAATTTTGCTGCAGTAAACACTTATGAACAAATTTTTGTTGAACATCTGTTTTACGTTTTTTGGGGGGTGGGGTTTGTGCCTAGCAGGACTGCTTGGCCACGGGGTAATTTGGTGTTGAACTTGTTGAAGAACCCTTTCCCTGTTCTCTGCACTTTCGTTTTTGTGTTGTGTTTATAACATTCGTATTGTGATCAGTAATTCCTTTAAGGATTTTAGTGCTTGGTCTTCGAGTGATCTTAAAAGTTGAAAATCAACACTATGGTCTTGTGACTAAGTAATGTTGTTCAACGCATAGTTCACGCTCGGGTTAGTTATATTTCCTTTTGGCATATACATGTGCCTTCTCCACTCTTTTTGAAAATAAATTCTCATCTGTGTCTTGAATTATCTGCTTTTGATAGTCATTTTTCCCCCTCTTTATTTGCCTTTGCAGGTCTTTCAATTGAAGGGTTTTCTCAAATGTCTGGCAAATTTTGATGTCTCTTCATATTTGAGGACAAAGTGCCTCTTGGTGGGGCTTTCTCTGTAGCAAGGCTTGCCAGTGGTGTACCTTGCTTCACGGTGGCTGGGAGTGGAGGCTGGGGTCCTCCTTCAGTGTTTAAACAAAATGCATGATTCTTCTATCAGAGAACTTAACAGTGGTTTTTGTGTTAGTCAGTTCTTCATCACTGTGACTAAGATACCTGATGAGAACCACTTAGAGGAGAAAAACATTATGGGATTCACAGTTTCAGAGGTTTCCATCCAGGGTTAGTCGACTCCATTTCTCTGGGCCAGAGGCGATGTTGGAATGGTGGGGCACAGGCAAGCTTCTCTGCTGGAAAGGGAGTTGGGGACGTGGGCAGGGACAGACACAGTCCCCAGGCCTTGCCCCCAGGGTCCTCCCCTGCCTGCAGTTACCACTGCATTCAGCTACCCACTGGCGAATCCAGCAAATGGATTAGCCCACTGCTGAGGTCAGAGCCCTGATGAGTCTTGACCCACCTCTGAACCTCGCTGCCCTGGGGTCACGCTATCAAACCACAGAAGATTTGGGGGGAAAAAGAAAGAAAGAAAGAAGGCGGCAGTTCTCAAATTCCGTCAGCTGATGAACTCCTTGTGCATCAAGGGGAAGGGGACTCTGTGCTGATTGAGCTTTCACGACTCTCAGCTGATGGGCCTGCACTCAGCCCTCCCTTGACCCCTCGCTTCACGCCCTCCCTTCATCATTGCTTGGGATTTTGCAGCTCCAGACCCCACCCTAGTGGTCATGGGTTCCTGCTTTGGTTCCGTGGACAGGCTTTTCTATTCCCATCTTTCTCTCCTCTGTCTTCCAAAGTTTGCTGGCCTTGCTGCCCACTGAAAAGCCTTCAGCAAGCCTCTCTGTGGCTGTGACTTTAGACTTTAACACTTTCTGTTACTATCACTTCGTGAGGACTCTGGAGGGAGAGGAGATAATACACAGGGACCACATGTGTATTATTTAATTGGGACTCTTCCGCCCATTTCTAAATGCCAAAGGAGCACAGGTAGGAGCATTCTCTGTGAAGGCAACAAGACGATGTGCTTAGCTCACACTTCTCTTCCTGTTGAAAGCTGATACTTCAATTAAAGGGATGAATAGCCTTTGAGTGCTGGAGTTTCTCTACCCTGATGGGCACATGGGTTATGTGAGGGGAATTATCCCTTTAATAACATATTTCTGACAAAATACAATTATAATCGGAAGTCTTTGCTAGGACAGGAGCCTCTGAGGCTGAGCAGGACCTAGGCAGGATGATTTATGAAGAAAATGGTTTTTTCCATTGTATGGATAGCACGAGAGGACAGAATAGGTAGCTGTTTAATTAGAGCAGAACAAAAAAATTAATTGCCTGTTTTATGTCAGACATAGTGATGCAGAGGTCAGGCCTGTGGAAGCTCAGCTTTAAATCATTTACAATATTTTTTAGGTTGTTTTGTCCTATAATCCCCTCATCCAATAATCTCACTGAATTAATTATTTTGTTATTTTATTTAAAAAATTTTTTTAGTTGTAGGTGGACACAATACCTTTATTGTTATTTATTTTATATTTATGTGGTACTGAGGATCGAACCCAGGGCCTCACTCATGCTAAGCAAGCACTGTACCTCTGAACCACGATCCAAGCCCCAGAATTAATTATTTTCAGAAGACTTTAATAAGAAAGCTTCCTTAATGAAGTTTATGCTTCCATGACTGTGGTGAGCTGGCTGAGTCTAGCTGTTTCAATGTTCTGAAAAATGCTGATGTACTTCCACCTGGTGGCACTTGGTGAACACTGCAGAGCAGAGTGGCAGATAATCCCACCGGGTCTTTCATACAAACCTGTTAAAGCAAGAAATCCTCAAATAATGCATGAGAGTCTTCTGCTACACACCTGAATTTACTCATTTGATTTCTTGTGGATGGAGAGAGGTCTGGGCTCAGGGGCAATAAACCCAACTAGCAATGGAAAGACAAGAGGGAGGGGTGCTAAGCCTTTGCTACAAAGCCCTGCTGCCTAAGCTCACTCTAGGATGCCGGCATCCAAAGGTAGAGAGAGGCATGCAAATAGCCCTCTTCACATAGTTGGCATCAAATACTTGCTAAGTGCATATTGTCCCAGGACCTGTGCAGAGAACAGACTTGAGTGGTACTTAATCCCAAGCCTCACTTGCAAGATTTTCCATGCTGAGCCTTCTAGATATTTGTATAGAACCCCAGCCATTTTAGAAGTGAGGGTGTTGGGGGGCAGGGCTGCCTTCCCAAATCAGAGAATCAGGATTAGACAAGCCCCTGAATCTCTCTTTGGGTGCTGAAATAGAGGATCACACAATGAAAACACTGTGGACGGTGCTCCCCTGTATAAGTAAATTCTACCATGCTCCCAGCTGGCTTTAAACAAAGTCGTCACAATTCAGCTATTTTAAAGGCTGGCCTAGATATTTTTGTTTTGATATGTCTGGGGTTTATACAAGTACAAGAAAATGGACATGAGGAGCATCCCAAATGTTTATTTCCAACTCCCTTTACACGTAACTACTCCTGAAATGATTCAAGTCATCAGAAAAACTGTTAGTAGAGTATATTTTAAAATCCCTGCAGCATGAGTTGGGAAACAGACTGAAGGTACAGTATCCACAAGAGAGAAACGTTATTACATTATTTTTGTCCAATGTGACATTTTGATATATGCACACATTGTTAAACGATTAGATCAAGCTAACCAATGTAATCCATCTTTTCACATATCATTTTTTTATGGTGAGAACATTTTAAGATCTTTTTTTTTTGCAATTTTCAAGTACAAAATGCATTATGATTAACCATAGTCAACGTGCTATACATTATTAGAGCTCCAAAAGTTATTCATTCATCTAACTGAAGCTTCAGACCCTCTAATGAACATGTCTTGCATTCCTCCACGCCCACCGCCTCCAGCTCCTGGCGACCACTGTTCCCCTCTGTGTGATGAGTTTGACTCCCTCAGGGTGTGTGTGTGAGGCCAGCAGGCAGGGATTGTCTGTCCATGCTGTGCCTAGCCGAGTTCATGCCATATAGTGTCCTCTGGGGTCCGTTGTAGTTTTTGCAATGACAGAATTTTCTTCTTTATTATGACTAAGAGTACTTGGGGGATGGGTGGGTGGGTGGGTAGTGCCCAAAACCCTTGTGGCCTTTATCCATTCTTCCATTAGTGGGCATTAGGTCGATTCTACATCTTGGCTATTGTTGATAAAGGATAAGTAAATCTTATGTCAAAACCAAAATAAGAGCTTTGTAAACCAGACCTTTCCAAAAATAAATAATAACTTTATACATTTGAATATAGGCATATAAGATAGATAGATAGATAGATAGATAGATCCTGTTGATTAAAGAAAGTAAGATAGATCCTGTTGATTAAAGAAAGTAGTGGTAGCAATGTGCTCAGATGAGGCCCTTTCTGAGAATAAATGATTATGTAAGTCTAGAAGACCCTGGCATTTATGAAGGTGTGGGAGATGGGCATTCTTATAGTCACAGGAACACAGATTGGAGGACAGTGGTGCGTTCCTAAACTCGGCCCTCCCCCACGTCTATCTAGCCATTGCCTCCCTAAGCTGAACTAAGTACATACAGATTTGCATGAACATAACCAATTTTTACTGTTTGAAGTTGAAAAACACCATTGGACTCATCAATGGAAAAGTAGTTCAGTGGATTGTAATATTCAAGAATGCACAGACTATGTTTGAAAGAATGAAATTATGCTGCTGCATATATTAATATGAAAATATGAGCAGGGCATGTTGTCCAGTGAAGAAAGCAAGTTGTAGCACTTGATGTAACTTCTTTAAAGAAGCAGGAGGTCATCCATGTGTGCATGTGTGCACACAAGAATGTGGACAAAGAAAGTGGTTTGGATGGACACATGTCACACCAACAGGCTGGGAATGTGGGTGGAGAGGAAAGGAAAGGAAGACTTATGCTCCAAGAATTGCTTGTATAAATTTAAAATAGATGATGATTCACAAATATTTTCGGAAAATAAAAGGAGAACATAAAGAGGAAGATAAGGGTGGAAAATAATATTCATTATGGTCCATAGAGGAGAATCCAGAGAGTCAGCAAAACCTGGTACCAACATGCTCATGCTGTTTCTCTAATAATGCTTCTTTACCAGTTTTTGAGAAATTATGCTACCATGACCTAAAGCCATACAGAATGTCGACTCCTTTCCAGATACTGCAGAGTGCAAACCCAGTAATACCAAGCAGACACCCAGCACCCTCAAGACCTCAGACATGGCAGGCAGCACCCTGGAAAGCAGTCTTCAGAACCGGGCCATTGTTCATTGTGTGACTTACATCTCCTAGGACTTTCTTAGATGCAAAGCATAACACCCTGCTGATGATCGTCAGTGCTTCCTCTTGCAGGTTCAAACGCTCTTCTTTCACCCACAAAACCATTTCCTGTTGGAAAAACAAGAGCCATCTTAGAACCATGGAATTTCCATTTCCTAAGGAGCCCTCCCTCTAGTCACCAGTTTGGGGGTCCCATGGTCTTTTGATTAATCCACGCTTGACCTATATTAGCTTAAAAAAAATGGACAACAAACAGCCAGTGTACTACTTCATCTACTATGGTGACTACATGTGGTTTTTATTTTACTTAATTCTATTCAACAAGTGACTAACAAACACTGTAGCAGTCCTTCTGTCAGGTATCGTGAAAGTTCGGCATGGGTCTGTACGTGGTCATCAGCTGCTCTACGTACAAATATTCCTTTTTTTTTTAAGTACAAATATTCTAATTAAAAAGAATATGGACTCTGATCTTTGGCTTTAAAAGAGAACTGAAATGTTATCTGATCAGAAATGTTATCTTTTCTTGTCTTCATGGATACCAATTCCTCTGCAAATTCACCATCCAGAAATGTTCTGATCCTTGGTTAGAGAATACATCAGTGGAGGCAGTTTAGTTAGAAAATTGTTGCTGATTTTTATTCAAATCTGTCTTTTAGTACCTTCTCTTTGTTCTAAATCCCAAGAGCAGGGATGGATGTATTTCCCCCTGGGAAGTGAATAGACTGCACATGCTAATGAGCCCTAGCAGACTTCTTAGGCCACCTGTTGGAGGCCTCTGTCCTTCTGCCAATGGTTGGCCAATCTGTTCCTCTTCACCTCTGCCAAGCGGCACACTGTTCTGAAGTTCATTTCCTAAAGCAGAAGGGTTTCTAAATCTCAGAGGGGTCACACTCTGCCTTCTCTGGGAGTGAGGTTTTAGCTCTTTTTGAGGATCAGGGAGTTCCCAGACATAACGAACCTCCCAAGTTGTGGTGGCTTCGCCATAATAGCATTGCTTCTGTTCCTTTTCTCCAAAATGGAAGAAATAATAGTAGCTTCCTTATGGGATGATTTGAGGGATTACAATATGGACTCACATCCTCGGTACCCAATGTGAAATGCTCAATAAGAGGAAGCGGAGAGCAGCCTGGGGCAGTTTGCAGGACATGGGGGGGGTGGATGATAATCACTTAGGACAATAACATTTCAAATGCACAGAAATATTTGGCTCCAATTCAGCACAAATTAGCTCAATCCATTTTTCATTTCCTTCACATTCTTTCTTGTCTTCAAGGATACCCATCTGTCTTCTTTACTTTGGTTTGCACAACTCATGGATGTTTCTGGTAGGGTAAGTCAATGTATTCCCAGTATTTTTAGACAGCTGACTCCTGACACCACCATATTAGGAATGCAAAATTTAAGAACCTAAAACATCCAGTGCAGTCTTGTCTGGCTGGGACATGAATCATGCGGTGAGGTCTGTGGACAATAGGGGTTCTACTTGTACAACTATACTAGGCTCTGCCCTCACAGGAGCTCTCTGAGTGGTCTGCTACTGGGACAAGTCTCTGCCTGGCTGTGACATCTTTTGAAATCTAAGTAGAGGCCGCCATGCTTCTGCATTGGTGGCATGAGGCACATAGCTCATGCATTCTGTGTACCTGCAGAGTTAGCACTGTGCATGCTGCCAAGGGTCATGGTTTGGAACTCCCAGAGCAGTGGGTGGAGCCACACCTGAGCCTCCCTGAGTCATGGCCAAAGCAGGCAAGGGGTGCTGTGCTGAAGGAAATTCAGGGCCAAGTCACCAGCTGGTACAGAGGAGAAAATACTGAGGTTCTATGGGTACCTCTCTTGAAACCTTGCCCTTAAAGTCCTAGCTTACCTCTGAAATGCCTTCAAGGTCACTCTCCCATTGTACTGATGACCAGACCTGGTTTTCATGCATGTTTAACTCTTGAGCATATGGTCCCTTAGCAACACGTACCCTCAATATTCTCTCTCAAATTTGTTTTTTTTTTTTTTTTAATTCTTTACATGGTCAGGCCAAGAGTTCCCCAGATCTTTTCATTCTGCATTTCCTAGATTATAAATTTCACCTTTAAGTCCCTTTTCTCTTTTCTCATTTTACTGCAAGCCATCAAAAGAAGCCATAGGGCACCTTGAGCTCTATGCTAAGTAGAGATTTCCTCTCTCAGGTGCCCTCGTTCATCATTAAGTTCTGCCTTCCAAAAAGTCCTAGAATGCAGACATGGTTCCTCCAAGTTCTCTGCAACTGTGTAGCAAGGGTGACCTTCACTCCTGTTTCCAATGTCTTGTGCCTCATTTCTCTCTGAGGCCTCCCGAGAATGGCTGCATTCTGGTCACAGCCACTTAGGTTTTCCCTGAGAAGACTGAGGCTTTCCCTACGGCCCTTGTCTTCTGCTGGCTCCTCAGCACAATGGTCTTTAATGCTCCATTCACACCATCTGGCTCTTCCAGCCTCATTACCCAGTTCCAGAACAGTTTTCACATCTTACAAAAGAATTTACCCAATACATACAGTATTGCATCTGGGTGTCCTGAGTTCTCCCCATAAACTGAAGGTAAAAAAAGGAGTGAGGTGGCTATGTGGATAAAGTCTCACCCAAGACCAAGCCACAAATGGCTTCTTTAGCTTAGAGATAAATTGCATTGGGTAGCAATGCTGAGAAAATAGTCTTTAGGTATTGGTTAGAGGGACAGTCTCACTTCTTGCTCTTAATTTTGTCTATTAGTCCAAGTGTGTTTTTAGAACAGAATATCTGAGGCTGGGTGGTTTATAAATATAATAGAGATATTTATTTTTTACAGTACTGGAGGCTGGAAGTCCACCAGTATCTTCAAGGAGTCCTCATCAATGGAGGGACATTTTGCTGCATCATTGCAGAGAGAAGAAGGGGAAGAAAGCCCCCAGGAAAGAGGAGGGGAGGGGGCAAATTCATCATTTATCCAGGACCCACTTCCATGATAATGACATTCATCCAATCATGAGGGAAGAGTCCTCACGATCTAGTCAACTCGTCAAGGTCTCACCGTGCAATACTGTGGCATTGGGATTAAGATCTTGACAGATGGACTGTGGGGGACATTAGAGGACAGATCGAAGCCACAGAATATGGTATGCATAAGGCCAGAGGATCTGTTGAGTTGCCTCACCCCAGAACTGATGGAAGTGAAATGTCCTTCACTGGGAGTGGGTGTCACGCTGTGGTCCACTGTCCTGAGGACCTGGAAGCAGTGGAGGCCAATGCTGGTCTCTGCTTCCCCAGCCTGTGCTCACCCACAGTCACCACATAAGACTTGCCTCCTCAGGTGGCCATTGATGGCTCCTCCCCAAGTTGATCTCTGCACTTCTCTAACTCAAACAAAGGGAATGGTTTTGTTTTGTGAGTAACTTCACTCCACAAGAAGCAAATTCCAGTTACCGAATACTAGAAGTATATATAAATATGATAAATTAGAAGTCAGTGAACTAGAGTGAGCTCTTTCTATTTATGACAAACAAAACTGCTTATTTCTTCTTACCCTTAGGATCTGGAGTTTGTAGAGGTCTTTAGACACTAAGATCAGAAGAGTGTCCTCAAATATGTGTAAAATATTTTGATATAAACTCTGAAATACAAAAAGAAATCACATAACCAGCCAGCAGACTTACATAAGAATTTACCAAATACATACAGTATTGCATCTGGGTGTCCTAAGTTCTCCCCATAAACTGAAGGTAAAAAAAGGAGTGAGGTGGCTATGTGGATAAAGTCTCACCCAAGACCAAGCCACAAATGGCTTCTTTAGCTTAGAGATAAATTGCATTGGGTAGCAATGCTGAGAAAATAGAGACCTCAGGTGTTCCTAACCTTACGATGGGACTCTACTTATTTTCATCTTTCTCTGCTTCTATTGTTTTTTTTTTGGGGGGGGGGGCAATACTTTTCATTAAACTCCTTGCCCTTGTGAAACCAATTTTGATCACAAATACCTTCACTGATTTGTTTCTATAACCCCTATATAATCCACCAAATCCCATGGGTCACAGAATTCACGAGGAGTTTAGGGGTGTAGGTTAGTGCTGAAGCATTCCATTGTATGTAAGTAGCGGAGAAGAAAACAGACTAAAACCTTCCAAGATGAACTGTCAGCTCCACTGTGGTGCAGAGCAAAGTCTCAACACAAGTGAAGGAACAAGGGTCTCACCTCCTGGTCCTCGAGGTCCTCATTGCCAATCCCCAGAGCTCTCAACTTTCCAAAGTTTGGTAGGGCTAATAGCATTCTAAAGGATGCTTCAGTTACGTTCAGCTGACTTTCATACTGCAGCACGGGATCCACAAAGCTGACAAGAAAAAGGTCTAACTATTAAATGGGTGAGATTTCAAATGCAATTTAAATTTATGGACTTTTTTTCTTAACGATGAGAGAGGGTATACGAGAAAGTAAAACCCAGATGATCGATGGATCTTAAATATTCTCTTAGCAATGATGCCTTAAACATTAAGGGATCAATTTATTCATAAATATAATCTACATTAAGTTATTTAGAAATTGGAACATCTTTCTCCATGAACTCAATAATGTAAAGACCGAGCCCATAAACCCACACTAGGTTTGAGATCATTTAACTGTATGGTGCCACTATTTCCTAGCCAATGATACCATGTTTTTTTTATGTTTTAATATTTTTGATACGGGCATGCATCTTTCAAGGTAACAACAAAGGAAAACTGCCCATCCTCAACTAGAAAGACCATCTGCTTATCCATGTGATATAGAAAGATTGGGGAGAGCGTAAGAAAGGAGTTGCTAAGTCAGGATGATGGAATTTTGAGTCAATTTTTATTTCTCACAATTATTATTTTTTTAAAAATATGCGATTTCAAAGATATTCAATTAGTGAAATCAGAGAGTGTCACATTACCTGGAGTTGATGGCCAGGACCATGGACTGATGACACAGCAGGCCCGCAAAGGCATTCCATAGTTCATTAATTGCATTCTCCTAGGTACCATGAAAAACACGAGCAATCACAAACCAGACAAGATCCTGTGTGGTCCCTGCTGCACCAAGCCAAGGCACCAAAACAGACTAAAAAGTCATCCCAAGAGTTTGTAGAAGTATCGAGACTAGAAAAACTATAACTTCACCCCCCACTAGTGTTTTGGCCTAAATGGTGGTCTGTACAGCCAACCACTGTGCTTTTATAGTGAGCATTTGCAGATAGTAGTATTTTTGGGGGGGTGCTTTACCAGGTGTGCTTCCACACACTTCTGTAACTGTCAAGTGCAATCTACAGGTTTAGTGTCTACCTATAAAAATGCCAGCACGGCAATTTAAGACAGGCCTTCCTGAAGGATGACCACATTCATGCCATAGAGTAAGAATCATATCCAGGTCAATGGGCGGCTGTATAACTTAATTTTGGAACCATTAAAAGTTGTAATTAAAGGTACCCAATTAGGAATTTATATTTCTTATATGAAATTTGAGAAATCCTCAATTATCTAAAACCATTTAGAGAAGGAAGAGTAAAAGCTGGAGACGTCACACTTTCTATTTTCAAACTCAACTCTCAAGCTGCAGTAATTAGAATGGTATAGCTGGGCATAAAAATAGACTCATAAGCAACACAGCATCGAGGGTCCAGAGACAAACCCACCCATAGATGTTGGGGAAAGGATGTGCTCCCAGGAAACGGTGTCTGGGGGTCGCATTGTCCACACACAGAGGAGTGAGCTTGGACACTTACCTTATGCCACCTGCAAAAGTTAAATGGGTGGATTAAAGGCTGATGTGTAAGACGAAGACTCTAAAACTCCTAATAGATGACTGGAAAAAGCTTCTTATTGTTGGTTTTGACATTGATATTTTTTGGAGGGGAGATGCCAAAAGTATAACAAAAACAAAAATAAACAAAGATTTTTTATCAAACTAAAGTTTCTGCAAAAAAAAAAAAAAAAGAAAAGAAAAAGAAAGAAAGAAAAAGAAACTGGGTCAAAAGATAAAAAGGTAATCTGTGGAATGGGATAAGATATTTTCAGGCCATATATCTGATAAAGGGTTATTCCCCCCAATATATATCTCCACCTCCAGGTACACGAGGAAGGTCTCCTACTTCCTCTTGGAATGGCTCCACAGTGCCCTGTCCCTCTTCTTTGACAACCCCGTCACCCACCTTTCCCTGCTAGATGGCTGTCTCCCTTACAGATTATTCTGATTTCAAGGATTTCCCATGTCTTTGGGCAATTATAACAACCCCAGGGTTATTGTTAATTATAATCCTGTTTATTTAAAATCTTAACCTTCATAACTTATTATTATTTCTAATTTTTATTAGTTATTGATGAACCTTATTTATTTATTCGTTTATATGTGGTGCCGAGAATCCAACGCCTCACAGGCCAGGCAATGCTCTACCATGGAGCCACAACCTCAGCCCCTGTAACTTACTATTCAAAGGTCTTTATTGATCTCCAGAGAAGGCAAGAGTTTGGATTTCAGGGTCAACACAGCACAGTGGTTAGGCTGCCAGTCCTGGGGCTGCCACTGTTACATGACCACAGGCAGGTCACCTTCAGCCTGAGTTTCCTCATTTAAAAATGGGATAGCAGCAGAACTTACCCCAGAGGGATCTTGTGAGGGTCAAAGGTGCTCAGCTATTTTTTGGAACAAGGAAGGTTATTCCTTCCCTCATCTTCCCTGCCTTTTTTCTAGGGTTGCAGCTCTAGAACTAGAAAAAAATGTGTGTGTGTGTGTGTGTGTGTGTGTGTGTGTGTGTGCGCGCGCGCGCACGATTTTTTGCTTCCTTCCTGTGGGTTGTGACTTCCGACTCTGCAGGTGGTGGCCACCACATTCCGGTTGACCAGGAATGTGCTCCCCCAGGAAAGCATCCCTTTCAAGACCCAGCTATGTGTCTGGGGCAGTTCCGGCTGTTCCTGGTTTCTAAGCTTTGGAAGCACAAGCCCACTTGATGCGCAGGGCTCCCCAGCAGCCCGCTGCCCAGGTCCATCAGCCCTGTGCCTGCTGGCCTGTGAAGGGTCTGGCACTCTGCACCTCCCCTACTGTTGGAGCAATTCAACTCCCTTGGTGCAGCTGGTCCCACAGCTCGGCCCTCTCAGCAAACCCAAAGGAACCTTCACAACGGGGTCTGTGCCCACGACCCATCCACAGCTCCTAGCACCCCCACAGAGGTCTGTTCTGGGCCATCTGTCTTTGGGATGGACGCTATGCACCCTCTGTCTGCACCAGCCCTCTCCACCTCAGGACTGAAACACTGTTTTCCCAGCGGCTGGGAGTGTTGGGAGCTGAGAGCTCTCTCTGGTCTGAAACTTCCCCCAGTCAATTGTCCCCTCTGGCAACCTGACTCTGATGCCTGGGTGACACAAAGGCTCAGCCCCTTTGCCTCCAAGGTCAAAGCGAAGGTCACCTCAGCTCCAGAGCTCCTGTGGGAGTAGCTGAAGCCTGCTTTGCACTTCCCTGTATTTCAGCTCCTCACCCTGCAAGCCTGCCTTCTCCACCCCTCCTCCCCAGGAACTGATCCCAGGAGCAAATCCAGCAAAACTCCTGGATGCAAGTCTCTGTCTTAGCATCTACTTCTGGAGAATCATACCTAAAATCTACAATGTGTGTTGCTGGTTTCTTTCCCTGGAATGTACTTGATCCTCACCTGGGTGCTCCACTCATCCTCAAAGTCCAGCCAGGTCTTCCCTAACCTGAAGCTAAGTAGAAGCCCCCTCTAAGTAAGTGTACCTCTCTCACCCTGCCTCCTGTAACATCCCCGCAGCTTTCAGCAAACTCTAATACTGACTTATTTTATTTTTCTTCCATTGGACTCTAAGCAATTTGAGGCTATTGTTTGAGTTCTACTTTAGTTTGTGTCTCAAAATGATAGCATAATATTTATTATATAGTAGATACTCAATAAATATTTTTAAATAAACGAATGACTGAGTGAATGAAATGCTAAACTGTACATTTGGTCTCTAATGGTGTTAACAATTTGAAAGTGATGAAACAGCACTGAACAGCAGGTTTTATTGTCAAGTGTCTTCCTATCCTGGCAGGCAAAGTGAACCTGTCCTTCAAAAAAGTTATCAATGTTTTGTAATTATCACTGACTTTGACCACAGACTCCTAAAGAAATGGTCTATACATGGTTTAACCACCACATGGGCCCATTCTTCTTTCTAAGGGAGAAAAATCGCATATCTTATGGTAGCTTTTCCCTGTGCCTTCTGTGTCAATTTAAACTTAGATATAAAAATGGTGGTAGGTTTTATCAAAGGCTCCAGATTTCAATCCAGTTTTTACAAAGCTAGATGAATACCTACAATGACAGAACTGTGTCACATTGTAGGGAACACAGAGAGAGGTAATCACAATCTCTGTCCTCCAGGGATGACAGACAAGCAAACTGTCCAAAAGTCTAAGGAAAAAAATACAAAAGATAAACAAAAAAGGAATAAAGCAAGTCGTGAGGCTGTCAAACTGGGGAGTGAGACCATCACTGAGGCTGGGCGGGGGCTGAGCTGGCTGACAGGGGTCCCCAGGATGGGAGCAAAGGATGTGAGACTGGGCGGGCCCTGGAGATGGAGGGTGGGGGATCCGCAGGAGGCTGTCAACACCTCAACGCTCTGCATTAGTGCGAAGCCACTCCCCGGCACAGTGGGCTGGCAGAGCTCTGCAGGGGGACCGAGGGCAAAGCCGGGTCCAGCCAGCTTGCCCGTGTCCTTCCCCCCACTCATGCACCCGAAAATGTTACTTGTAACATCTGTGTAAGAGTCAGCGAACGAGTTCTCCCTCGGGAGATCCCAGTTACCACGATGTCCTACAGAACGTCACGTACCAGGTGGTGCCACTTCATTTTGGACTGCAGAATCTGGAGGCCACTCACTGCTGGAGAGGAGGGGACTGGTTAACAGCAGCAAGCACGACCCTCTCAGCTCAGTGGGACTAACCCCCACCTGGAAGCTCGAGTCTCTCTCCCTCTCTCTCTCTCTCTCTCTCTCTCTCTCTCTCTCTCACACACACACACACACACACACACATACACACACACTGAGACTCACTTTGCAGATGAGCTCACTGTGGCTGTTACTGAACAACACTAGATAGAAAATATTTCAAAGATTTTAAATCTATACTTGATAACAATTCTTAATTATACAGATATGTAGCTAATTTCTTGATGTGAGAAACAGAAAGCCAGCCCCACTCTACACCCCTTTATGGAAGTACCATACAGTATTAGTAGAAAATAGAAGTACATTAAACTTGTTAGTTTCTAAATTTCTTTGCTTTGTGATCAGAGAATATGTCTGCTAGTCTACTGTTTGGAATTTATATAGAAATTTCTAGCCTAATACATGTTCACTCTTGTGACTGTCCTAGGGTACTGGGGACAAAGGTCTATTCCATGTTTTCATGGATAAGGATTGACAGGTGGGTCTCTCTCTCTCTCCCACATGCATCTCTATGTTTCCCTGTTCTTCCTACAGCCTTGATTTTCAACCCATCAATGCCATGCTGACAGAGGAGAATCAAATTCTTCTACTAAAAACTGCAAAACAATATTAGATATTTTTATAAAAACATGGAAGTTTCCTATGATTTTATTTTGTCCTATCAATTTTGATACTACTGTGTATTATGCTGTGGCAATGATATTATTTTTCTACTGCTGTGTATCAAGTTGCCACAAATTTCATGGCTTTTAAAATACCCATTTATTATTGCACAGCTTCTGTAGGTCAGAATGTTCCCTCTCAGCTTAGCCTCCGTGCTCAGGGCCTCACCCAGCAACACGAGGTATTAGCTGGGACGGCTCTCTCCTCGGGGCTCAGGGTCCTCCTCCAAGACCATTAGGTTGTTGGCAGAATTCACTGCTCTGAGCCTGTCAGACAGAGGGCCCTGTTCTCTTGGTGGCCGTGGCTGCAGGCACTGGTCAGCTCCTGAAAGCTGTCTACTGTTCCCTGCCTTCTCCTGCTACCACTCTCTTTTTTCCAACAGTCTAGACCCAGTATTAAGAGGCTCATATGATGAGCTCAGGCCCCCTGCAGATGATCTCTAAGACAACTGGTTAGCAGCCTTACTTAACTGGTTGGTAGCGCCCCTTTGCCATTGCCCGCCATCATCTTCAGAGCCTCAGACCACATCTTCCCTCAGCTTTTTATCTTCAAGGAAGAGGGATTTGTAGGAGGCATGAGTCTCAGGGCAGGGACATTCGGGCCACCTTGGAACTCTTTTTACCAGGTAGACTTTTCATAATTATCTTCATTATGGATTATGAACTTTCTTATTATGTGATGCTTTTGTAGGAATCACATTTAATGCTTTAAAGCTTAATTCATAGCCCGGAATTTGAGTCAGTCTGAATTAAGTTTCCCCAGTTCTGCTGAGCTCCTGTTCTTCCACTTCTTATAGACTTCTCCCCATCTACTTATTCACAGCCTTTTGAGAGATTTGTAAGTGTTGCCAGTGTATAGCATGTTGCTGGGGTTTTATTAACAATGTAACCAATTCCTTTCTCTTAATGGGTGAGTTCAATCCAATTTCATCCTCTGGTATGCCTGTCTGTGTGTGGTGTGTTCATGTTCCTTTAATATGAAAGGTTTGTCCTCTTGCGACAGTGACCAGGTTGACTACAACTTTTTAGAATGTTTCTCGAAATCTTTAAAATCTGCTGATTCCCAACTGTGAGCAAAAATGGGATTGGTTCATTTCCTCCTGCCTCTTCCTTGAGCAATTTTAGTTGATTAAATTGCTAAATGGCACTTTTATGTCTTTGTTCTCATTTAATGGTTACTTAATCACTTCCAAGTTTCAGTGAAGAAGAAACTGTGTGCTTACCTTCCCTCATAGCTTCTACTTCCTGTATAATTTTGTTAAGTCATGCATAGACTTTCAAGATTTTCAACATTTGCATTCAGCTTGGTGACAGTAACCTCCCCATCCTCTATGCCTTAGTGCTATGTTTAAATAGATCCAGGACACACAGCCAGGCTCTCTCTCTTCATCCTCATTGGGTTGAAACGCATCTTGTATTTTATTTAGAGGGGCTTGAGGGAATTACGTCCCTTGACTCCTTGTCATGTGCTAGATAGCTGGCTATGCTTTTCTGAGTTAAAGTTTGGCCAGGTGTGACATCCTCAAGCCACCTTGTTCTCCTCTGGGGTTGTAGAGGCTGCTGCATTGCCATCTAGCCCGGCCCTGGGAAACCCCAAGGTTAGGTGGGTTTCTTGTTGTCGCTGTTTTCTTCCATGAAGATTCACTGAAGCTTTTCTTTTTCCTGGATTTCCCAAGGATTCTTTGCTTATCTCTGAGATGATTGACCTTATAAGGTGTAACTCTCCTTTGATGGTTTTGAGTTAATTTAGGGACATAGTCCATTATGCAATCTATATTTTCTTGGAAAGTTTCACTAGAATTTTACTTAAATTTGTGTTCTCTTCTGTCACTTTGGCCTCTTGGGTGATCTCTGCTCTAGGTCTTACCTTTGTGCTCCTTACCAGGTTTTGAGCACTGCCTATTTCTGGGCGGGGGGGGGGCGGGGGGGGCGGTCAGCAGAGCCCTTGTTTTTCTTAGAGTATTTTCCAATTCTCTTCTGAGTTGCACTAGTTCTTCACTAATTTTTTGCAGCTCTACTTTGAGCTCACTTTATAGATGAAATTGGTCCATTCAATTTTTTTTAAAGTACTTATCTGCTTTTTGACAATATTTTCCCAGAGTTCCTTAACTGTCGTTCATTTTTATGCCACTTCTCCACTTCTTTCTTGTGAACTCTTAGTTTAGATCCTTTTTACTGGTTACTTTTTTCTGGACAGGCTACTTCTAGTCGGACGCCTGCAGGTCTCCGTCAGAGTTTGATGTCCATTTGCTCTGTCGGCCCTGCGTAGCTTCTGGTGATCCTGCTGGTGATCCAGAGCTGCTGGGGCCTGGCCTCCTTCACCCTGAACCACTCGCCGACCACAGCTGCTCTGTGTAGTTTCCCCTCTCCAGCTTCACGGGCTTCTCCTGGGTTCAAAGTCAGAGCCCAAGGGGGTCCTTCAGGGTGCAGGTCCCATTCCCATTCCTCTGCCTGAGCGCCTCGTCCTGCCTTCTTCACGTTCTCATCTCCCAAGAAGCAATCAGCGGTGTCTCCAGGAAAGAAAGTCTCTCTGGACCCAAATGTGAACAAAAGCCTTGATTGAGGCAGTTGGTGTTTCCCCAGGATTCAGCCCCAGTTCTTAGCTGGAGCACTTTTATTGCTATTTCCAAACTTTCCATATTCTATTAAATGTATGTCAATGACCTTTGTCTCAGTTTGTTCTTTAAAATTCTCACAGGACTGAAAGCCAAGGGATTTTAGGACAGGTGTAGGGTACTTCCCATATTACCATCTTAGCTATCCTTTTTATGTATGTGATTTATTTAATAAGGTATGGTCTTTTTTTAAATTGATGTTTAAATTGTTTAGTCTCGGGAGTTTTCCGGTAGCTGATTATCTCCTCTGTGTCTCTATGCATTGAGATCTAGCCTCGGTGAGGAGGATGACGTGTTCTCTGGAGGGAAATGCAATTTCAGATCTGAGTGGGTTGGAGTGAAATAGCACTTTGATGGGTACCAACTGATAGGTGACCTTAGTGCCCCGAATGCCTGCTGGGTAGGGGAGACGTGGTCAGCCGGTGGGAGAGAACATAGACCTCCCCAAGGTTGACGCTGTGTCCTCTTGACCCCAGATTCTCTATACTGGATTAGACATACTTCTGGCTGTGCCTGGGAGGACTGGTCAGGGCAAGAGTGGCGTCTGGACTGGTGGCCTGAGTAATGCGGGCCCTCTCCAGTGTGCTTGGGCCTGTGTGCTTTGCTGAGGGCTTGAGTGGAACCACTGGGCGGAAGGCGGTTCAGCTTGTCATTGGCTCTCTCTGGCCTGCAGACTCTTGTATCTCAGGCCATTAGAACTGCGCTGGCAACTGCTGGCTCTTGGGCTTCCACACTATGCCACTGCTCTCCTGGGACCTGCTTACAGATAGCACTGTGGGATTCTCAGCCTCCGTAATAATGTGAGCCAATATCTGATGGTAAATCAATTTCTACATATAGATTCTGTTGCTCTGGGGGAAACCTAAGACGACATGAAGTTAGAGAATTAACTAATGAAAATGAATTTTTCTGATTGGTAAATCAGATAAGAATTCTAGATGAGGGCCTGTGGAGAAGAGATTTTCAAATATATCTACAGTTTTGTCTCTTAACAAAACAACAGCAGCAGCAACAACACAAAACAGTCACTTACTTGTCTGTGATCTCCGCATAATTATTGACAGTACAAAGTATTGACTAGAAAATCTCTTATGTGACTTCTTAACCAAAGATGAAACTCTTTGGGTAGTTATCAACCACGAGAATCCTTTCAAGTGTGGTTACTTGTCATAGCAACCAAGAGCTCCAGATATTCCATTCTGGAATGGATGTGGCACCCGGCTGGGATGTACCGGGGTCCAAGTGGCTGCTGCTGCTCTCTGAAACCTGAACCTGTAAAAAAGCATAATGCAGTAGCTCTGGAAATAAGATCCATGCCCCCTCTAGGGTTTGTTTTTATACTTTTTATTGTTATAGATACTGGTTTTATTTTGTTAAGTATCAACTTTCCTGGACTAATTTTATAAAGTCTGTATCGTCATAGAGGGCTGCTGAAGTCTCTGTTCAGTTAGCTTAGTGGTCATAAGGACTGGACAGAGGATTCCTTAAGGGTTTTGAATCAGTAAGTCTTGTGGCCTTTGCCAGGGGCTGATTGTGTGTGTGTGTGTGTGTGTGTGTGTGTGTGTGTGTGTGTGTGTGTGTTGATGTCTTTGATACTGCTGGTTACAGGTGATGAGTTCTGCGCCCTCAATGTAGAAGTATAACACTAGAGAAACTCGCCGAGGCAAGCAGATTGTTAGGGTCCGGCGAAACGTCGGAGGAAGAGACCACAAGAGACTGTCTTATGCAACAGCAGAAGGGTGGGTTTATTTGGAGACCAGCATGCTGGGGCTCCCTCTGTAGCAAAGAGAGATAGAGCCCTGAGAACAGCTTGAGCAGAGCTTATATACTTTCCCTGGAGAGGGCAGGGAGGGAAGTTACATTTTGTAGTTTGGAAGTTGGGGACAGCTCATTCTGGGAGCAAGATTAGCAAACAGTTCACAGTTGGGGACAGCACATTCTGGGAACAAGATTAGCAAACAGTTCTTAAGATTTCAACAGTGCTTTGTTAAGCATATAGAAAAACGGAGTGACAAGTACCTATTTTATTAACCTTTCATTCCCCACTTCTTCTTCTGGTTACTTTTAATCATAAAAGTGATCATTGGGGGGTGTCACATTTTATGTCTGTTAGTGGGGTATATTGTTGTCTGATTACCATAAGTTTGATTTGTCCAATTTGGGCCTGGAAAAGGAAACTACACGGTTGAGCAAACAGGGTCCTAGAGTTAGCAACAATATAAGAATTATTAGAGGACCGGCCAAGGCTGATAAAAGCGTAGTTAACCAGGGGGACTGTGTGAACCACCCTTTTTGGGTTTCTCTCTCTCTCTGACGCTCTTCAAGGCATCATCTTAGTTTACTCATAGATTCTTTTACAACTCCAGTATGGTCGGCATAAAAACAACATTCTTCCCTTAATGTAGCACAAAGGCCCTCTTCTCTCAAGAAGAGGAGGTCCAACCCTCGCCTGTTCTGTAAAACAACTTCAGAGAGAGAGGTTAAAGATTCCTGCAAAGCTGTGATGGAGGTTTCTATTATCTTTAAGTTTTGGTCCATTGTTGTTTCTAATTGGGTCATTTGTTGTGTCCCACGGACCAGGGCAGTGGTCCTTGTGCCCACCCCTGCAGCAATTCCCATTCCTAGTAAGATGGCTAAAGTGAAGGATACAGGTTTCTGGCAGAACCGGGTTGTATGTCCCCTTATTTGATCTTTAAATGAACCTGCGTCATGATAGAGCACTCTGGGAGACATCTGCACCATTATACAATTAATTACATCTGTTGACCATTTTATGAAAACATGAATAATGTTTAAGTATATAGAATTATACTGCTGTAGGGACGGACAAGGCAAGGCACCTAAGATAGCACTGAAGACAGGGAAACAGTCCTATTTGGTTGCAACCGGATTCAGAGGGCATTGCTTCTGTTGTAATCAATTAATCCCCTGAACCCCAAGTTTAGGTAGTTTCAGAATTTTGTACTCAACATGTAAGGGAAGGGGCTCAGAAGTTCACAGTCTGCAGAAGTTCACAAAAAGCAGTTTTTGTTTCTGTTTTTTTCTCTGTTCTGGGCAAGTTAACTTTTCAAGGACACCTGGGAGGGGGAGAATTTTTTTCTTTTTCCTTGCCAGCTGTTACCATGGAGCCCAGTTGATAACTTTTTATCTTAGAAATGTAGCCATCTCTGTGAAGCCCCAGCTCAAGGCCAGAGGCCCTGTTCACATATTTTGTGAAAAACTAGTAAGGGGGTGTCTAGCTTAGGAGTGCTGATTTTTCCAGCCAGTGGCCAAGTAGAACAGGGCAACATGAAAAGAGGAAGTTTATCTACACTGAACTCTTTTATAGGGACTCTTTTGCTGAAAGTCCTAAAGTCAGCCATGGTGAAGACTTCTGGAGAAGGTCAGTCAAGACTTTTCTGTGGGCCTGGTATAGAGGGGGAGGACAGGGAAGGCGGTGCTGAGAGCAGCTCCGTGGATCTGAGAATGAGGAAGGAGAGATGTAGAAGAATAATGGGAAAGGGGCTTGGGATCTTCCTAGCAACAAAAACTTGAGCAGTAGAACAGGTAGAGCAGAGGGAAAGACTGGAGTGAGTATCTCAAAAAGCCTGTGAGGGACTTTAAATTTTTAGTAACCTGTTTTCAGTGATGACAAAGCAACTTTAAAGGCCATTTTCATTACATCTTGGATAGGGGTCTGAGGGCTCTCCTCAGCTGGTTTGAGCTTTGGGTTAGCTGGTAAGAGGACCTGGTGGGACCCGGTGTGGGCACTGACAGGAGAAGAGAGGAGTGAATGGGTGGAGAGATACCTCAGTACCTGTACTTCAGCAAGGGGGCAATGGTCTGAGAACCGAAGGAGGTTTGGGTTCCATCAGGTAGCCCCTGTATGTTCACATCCTTATGACTTACAGAAGTAGTCGGTTTTTCCCCCACACAGCCATGACTGTTTGTGGCTTTGATAGTCCGCCAGGTAAACATAGTAATCTAGGTTAGCCAACCTACAACTGGCTCTCGTGTCCCTACATCCATAATGTTTGTTTCTATTATCTATGGTACGGAAGGGATTTAATGGAATTTTGGTGGGATCCTCTTCATCAGGGATACCCAATAGGAAAGACCTAAGCCAGCTGACAAATGTCTGGGTGGAGAGACGGCCACCAGGTCCCTAAGGGGGATGTATGTGAGATAGATCATAATTTGTCCAGTAGCACCTGGTATGGTCCTTTCCAGCGGGGTTCTAGGGATGACACCTGATGTCGTCTTATGTAGACGAAGTCTCTTACACCATTTGATATCGGTGTGGAGTTCCTTCATCCCCAGGTTGGTAGGCAGTGGCCAGCTGTTTCCACAGGTATCGCTGGGTTCTTTCAAGAGCTTTAAGTCTGTCAAGCAAGGGGGTGTGAAAGGAATCATTAGGTCTTAGAGTTGGGATCAGGTCCCTTACTGGAGGAGGGGCACTATAGAGAATTTCACAGGGGGTGAGGTTACACAAAGAAACAGTGCATAAGGCAGGAGCATAGTCCAATCTTTTATGCCAGTCTCCAAGCTTAATTTTGTCAAGGTCTCTTTAATGGTTCTATTTTTTTTTTTCTATCTGTTCTGAGCTCTGGGGTCTATAAGCACAATGTAACCTCCAATTAATCCCCAGGGTCCTAGTTAACCCTGACTTACCTGGGCCATGAACGCCAGTCCATTATCAGACCTTATTACCTTAGGCAGGCCGTATCTTGGAAAAATATCTTCCAGGATCTTCTTGACCACCATTTGTGCCATTTCTTTTTTTGTGGGGAAGGCTTCAATCCATCCTGAAAATGTATCTACAAAGATTAGGAGATATTTAAGTCCATACCTTGATGGTTTAATTTCAGTAAAGTCCATTTCCCAGAATTGTCCTGGTCTGGTTCCTCGAAGGTGTCTTCCTATAGGAAGCTTGGAAGGGTAAGCATTAACCAATTGACAGACCCGACAGGCTTTTGTTACTCGTTCAGCTAATTTTTTTCGCTGTGAGCCGGTTAGTGGAAAACTCTGTTCTTGATCCTTTAGGAATGCCTGCAGTTTCTTTGAACCAAGGTGAGTGAGTTGATGTACATTCTTAACGTAGTGTAGGGCTTTCTGAAATTGCAAGTTGGGTTCAGTGTTTTCAAGGAGTTCAGTGTCAGTGTCCTCAGATGTTAAATTGTCGGGGTGCTCTGATGTAGTTAAATCTCTTGATTCATATTTCCCCCGTATGGAAAGTGTTAACATGGTTACTCTGTTTAGAGCTGCCAATTTAGCCTCTTTATCCGCCCTCCTCTTCCCGACCGCTACGGGATCATTTCCTTTCTGGTGTCCTGGACAGTGCACTATAGCTAGTTCTTTAGGGCTTTGTATTGCTGAGAGGAGGCGGAGGATCTCATCTCTGTTCTTTATTTCTTTTCCCGCCGAGGTTAATAGTCCCCTTTGCTGGTAGATAGCCCCGTATAAATGAGCAGTAGCGAAGGCATAGCGGCTATCTGTGTATATGGTGGCCTTTTTGCCTGCCACTAGCTCTAATACCTTCGTGAGGGCGATCAGCTCTGCCTTTTGAGCCGATGTTCCCTCCGGGAGGCTAGAGGACCAGATGACTTTAGTTCTGCTAACTATTGTTGCCCCAGCCCACCGCTTACCGTCCTGGAGAAAGCTGCTGCCATCAGTGAACCATATGACCTCAGGGTGGGGCAGTGGCTGATCCTTTAAATCCCATTGTATACTGGTTTCTTCTGCCAGTATATGTTGACAGTCATGAGTGACGGGTTCTGATGATTGTTCAGGTAGTAGTGTGGCCGGGTTAAGTGCGGCAGGGGGTCCCAATATTATTCTGTCCTTGTCAAGCAACAGGCTCTGATAGTGTGTTATTCTAGAGTTTGATAGCCATCTATCTGGTGGCTGGTGGATGATGCTCTCTAGGGCATGGGGGGCTATAACGGTTAGCTTCTGCTCCAGCGTTAACTTATCAGCATCTTTGATTAGTAGGGCCGCCGCTGCTATAGCTTTTAGGCAATGGGGCCATCCACTAGCCCCTGGGTCCAGCTTTTTAGATAAGTAGGCTATAGGCCTTCTCCAAGGTCCTAAAGTTTGAGTAAGCACTCCTCGTGCTATTCCTTTCTTTTCCTCAATATAGAGAGTAAAGGGTTTTTCTACATCTGGGAGTGCTAAGGCCGGAGCAGATAGCAGCGCCCTTTTGATGTTATCAAAAGCTTGTTGGTGTTCAGGGTTGCATTGGAATTGGGCATTTCCCTTTAACAACAGGTATAAAGGAGCAGCTAAGGTTGCAAACCCAGGTATCCATAACATGCAAAAGCCAGCAGTTCCAAGAAACTCTCTGAGTTGCCTCTTATTAGATGGGGGTGGTATCTGCACAACAGTTTGTTTTCTGGGCTCTGTGAGTCATTGTTTACTGCCCCTAAGGGAATAGTCCAGGAAGATTACTTCTTGCTGGCAAATTTGGGCCTTTTTGACAGAAGCTCTACACCCGAGTTGAGCAAGCTCAGATAGTAGTGCTTGGGTCCCTGATTCACAGTTTTCCTTGGTGTCTGCTGCCAGTAGCAGGTCATCCATATATTGAAGTAGGGTGACTTCGGGGTGCATGGTTCTGAAGTTGTTGAGATCTCTGTGGAGGGCTTCATCAAAGAGAGTGGGGGAGTTTTTGAACCCCTGTGGGAGTCTGGTCTAAGTTAGTTGATCAGATGTTCCGGTTTCTGGGTCTACCCACTCGAAAGCAAACAGCAACTGACTATCTTTATGCAGAGGCAAGCAAAAGAAAGCATCTTTTAAGTCCAGGACAGTATACCATTTTCGCTCAGGGTTCAGGGTGCTAAGCAGATTGTATGGATTAGGTACTGTGGGGTGAATGTCCTGCACTCTGTTGTTGATCTCTCTTAGGTCTTGAACAGGGTGATAGTCCCTGGTTCCTGGCTTTTTTACTGGTAGCAGGGGAGTGTTCCAGGCTGATTGACAGGGCCTTAGGACCCCTAAGGCCAGATATTTCTGAATATGGGGCCTTATCCCATCTTTAGCTTCTTTGCTCAGAGGATATTGTTTAATATTAATTGGGAGGCTGAGGTTTTTAACTCCACCATTATTGGAGGTTGTTTTATGACTAGGCCTAATTCAGCAGTTTCTGCCCAGGCATCTGGGTAATCTGTTATCCATTTCTGGGATAGCTTGCCTGTTTGATCAGTCTTGGGGGGTGTGAAGAGTTGATGTTCATCTTCTACTGACATAGTTAAAGCCATGACTATAGGAGTTTTTACTGAAGGATTTAGAAATTTCATTTGGGGGCCTTCAGGGTTAAAAGTTATTTTGGCCCGGAGTTTGGTGAGCAGATTTCTGCCCATCAATGGGGCTAGGCATTCTGGGATCACTAGGAAGGAGGAAGGAGTGATGGACTTTTCCATTTTTTTAGGTCCATGGTCCTCTTAGTTGTCCAAGCCCAATATTTACTGCCATTAGCCCCTTGAACTAGAGACCTTTTAGTTGATAGAGGGCCCAAGGGGGCCTTAAGGGCTGAGTATATTGCCCTTGTATCCACTTCAAAGTTTACTGGGGTCCCCTCCACTTCAAAAGTTACCTTGAGCTCGGGGAGAGGATCCGAGCCCTGACTTTCTTAGTCATCCTCCAGAGTTAGAATGGCTTGCTGGCGTGGCTGTTTCTTTCTAGGGCACTCTTTGGCCCAGTGTCCTTTTTCTCTACAGCAGGAACATTGATCTGAGGCCAAAGGTGGCTTTTGGCGTGGGCCCAGGTATCCCTTTCTGTCTCCCTGTCTCTTAACTTTTGCCCTATTTGTTGTTGTGACCAGGACCTTAGTCAATGCCTCAGTCTGTCTTTTGCTTCTTTTATCTTCCCTTTGCTCCCTTTCTTCCTCAGTTTCTTTTTTATAGTATACCTTCTCAGCTTCTCTGACTAAATCTCTCAAAGTCATAACTTGTAATCCATCTAAGCATTGTAACTTTTTTTTTAATATCTAGGGCAGCTTGCCCAATAAAGGCCATCATGACAGATGCCTTTTGATCCTCTGCCTGAGGATCAAAAGGAATATATCTCCTATATGCCTCCATAATTCTCTCCAGAAACATAGAGGGAGATTTATTAGGCCCTTGAATAATCTCTCTTACCTTGGCCAAATTAGTTGGCTGTCTAGCGGCTGCTCAGAGACTCGCTATTAGAGCCCAGTGATAAGTGGACAGCTGCTCCCTACCTTCAAAGGTGTTGGGGTCCCAGTTGGGTTGGTTCAAGGGGAAGTCAGCTTCAATTATGTTGGGAAGTTGTGTCGGTCGCCCATCTGGTCTGAGGATATTTTTTTTTCTTGCTTCCAGGAGGATTCTCTCTTGTTCCTCTGTCATGAAGAGAGTGCCTAAGAGTTGTTGGCAGTCATCCCAAGTAGGCTGGTATGAAAACATCAATGACTCAATCAGACCTGTGAGCCAGGTGGGGTCCTTGGAAAAAGGGGGATTGTTATTTTTCCAGTTATATAGAATTGAAGAGGAGAAAGGCCAATACTGGTAGGCTTGCATTTCTCCACCATGGCCATCTTTTATCATTGGCCCATAAGGACAGAGGGGAAGTATCACGGGGGCTTCAGGGTTTTTAATCATTTGCTGCCAGCGAGTTCCTTTAGCTGGGTTAGCTTCCTCCCGGGGAGGAGGGGCTGTGTGTGCCGTGGGGGAGTCATCTGGAGGGCACTGGGCCGGCTTAACCTCCTCCAGTGGTGGAGAAACTGAGTCAGCAGCAGGGAAATCACTTAGAGGGTGTTAGGGGTTGGGGAACGAAGGCAGGGGATAAGGAAAGGGAGGAGAGTCCAGCAGAGTCAAATCTTGAGACTCAGGGAGAACAAAGGGTGGAGAAGGAGCAGAGGGTTTGAGAGATAGAATCGTGGGGGGAGGAGTAGGAGCGGGGATAAGAAAAGACTTCACCCATGGAGGAGGAGATTCACAGAGATCCTGCCAAGTTAAGATATACGGCTGTTGAACTGGATGGCTATGTGGCCCCGGCTGAAAAACAATATATCTGATTTTTCGAATTAGTGGGTAGTAGAAAGATTCTTCTGGAGGCCATCCAATTCCAAAGGCAGGCCATTCTGAGTCACAGAGAGTCTGCCAGGTTCGGCGTTTTACTGAAAAAGAAAGATTCTGAGCCCTTAAGCGGACTTCAGTCCAGTGATCACAGGGTCAGGGACAGAGGTGTGGAATGACTCTGTCCCATAATGAAAGTTACTTGAACAAAGACAGGGACAATACAAACGTGACACAAACAAGGACACACAGTAAACAGTAAACGTGTAACACAAGTTCAGAGGCAAAGATTAAAAACAGACAGTGAATTCAACCTGAGAGAAAGAATTGTTGCC